TTCTATTCATCGGCGTAAAATATCTAAAACCACGTTTTTTTTTTACTCGTAATAAATAATTTTTTTTTTTTTACACTCTCTCCCACGCCACGATCGCCATTTTGATTGATTGATTTGATTATCATTTAAATTTTTCATTGATGTCGATACAGTTTTAGGTTATAAGTGGTTGTAGGTAGTATACGTTAAAAATAGTGGCAGTAAGCAAAAAAAAAAAAAAAAAAAAAAACAATTATTAAATTACGTTAAAAAAAAATTAATTCGAAGGTCATTCATTTATCATACCTTAAACAACAACAACAGTCTTTAACTTAATGACAATAATAATAATAATAATAATAATAATAATAATAATAATAATAATTTAATAATAAGAATTTCAGACAGAAGAAATTGAGTGACCTCCTTTCGTATATACCGGCCATGCCTTTGTTTCCAAGGAGGTCATTACCATTGAAAGCAACATAACGTGATTTCCTAACGAAGTTTTTTTTTTTTTTTTTTTTTTTTTTTTTTTTGCGTTTGACCAATGGTTACTTTTTACACTTCCTAATAATAATAATAATAATAATAATAATAAAAGCCAACGGCCATAGCGTGCTGGTCACACCGGTTCCCGTACGATCACCGAAGTTAAGCAGCATCGGGCGTGGTGCAAACTTGGATGGGTGACCGTTTGAGAACGCCACGTGCTGTTGGCTTAAAAGAGAAAAAAAAAAAAAAAAATGAGAACAAGACAAAGTAAGAACCAAAAACAAATCTTGTTCTACTGTCGACCTGAGGCAGTTCGACGAGAACGTGAATTTCACTGCTTCTGACCCTGGCCACTCCAAAGATGTTAGTCACTGGAGCCCAGTTCAGGAGACAAATCGTTCCCATCGAATAAAGATGGACTCAGGAAGACCTTCAAGAATTGATGTGGTGCTATCTTATAATAAGTGGCACCACCGAAATTCGAGTATTTGTCCCTAAGGAATCGGGTAGAAACCTCGGATAAATACTTAAAAAACTCCGACAAGTAGCCTTGTCGTGTTTAATGGTGGATAATAATAATAATAATAATAATGATATCACACACGTGATGTATTTATGTACATACATACAGTTAATTAATTTCAACTTATATGCAGCAACTGTGAATTTTTGTAAATCTGCATCTGCTCTTCGTCTTTTATTATTATTATATTTTTTAATAACAGTTGTGTCGGACGTCTGTCGGTTTATTTTGAGGGGGAGGGGGCGAGGGGAAGGGGTACGTTAAATGACTAATGTTACGTTTCTTTTTGTTTTTGTTTTCTCGTTATACGTTTAAAGTTTTGTGTCGTTGTCGTTGTGGTTGTTGTTGTTGTTGTTGTAATTTTCAAGCACGATTTGAATATTAAAATTTTAAAAATGTGACTGCGTGAAAAAAAAAAACCAATAATAATAATAATAATAATGATAACGTAAACGTTTGTTGTTGTTGTTGTTGTTAAATTATGTATTTCGCGAAACGAATTATTTTATTTTATTTTATTTAAATATGATTGGATACGCTTCGGAATATTTTATCGATAACAATCGAGGGTGAGTTTTATTTATCTCTCTTTTTTTTAAAAATCACGAACCGCCATAATTATTAGTTCCACGATCGAAATTGAAACTTTACAATAAAATTAATACACATCGACTGTTTCGTAATTTTTTTTTTTTTTTTTAAAGGTGAGGTTCATCATCATCGTCAATGCGTTAAAAGATCATTTTTTTATTTTAAAATTTTTTATAATGAATCATCATCCATCATGGTTGAAATTTTAAATATTGTCGTTATAATTATTCGAATGATTTTCGAAAACAATGTTAATCCCATATTATTAATATCGTGAATCCCAACAAGGTATCAATTTAATAAAATTTTGCGTTTCACGTTTTTCTTCTTTTTGTTTGTTTACATTCCTGTCCGAGAAAAGGTTTTGCAAAAATTTTCTCATCGATATTAAATAAAAGAATTTTAATAAATAATAATTATGATGAACTGTGATTTCCGATGGAATAATTTCGATATTTTTTTTTTTTTTTTTGTTTTTCCTAAGAAATTTTCTCAGTTTCTTCCTTAATGTCGGCGATTCATTAACTCCCGCAAATTTTAAAACGTTTTTTTTTTTTTTTTTTAAATCGGTCGTAAAAAAAAATTTTTATTAAATTATTATTTGAAAAATTCACGATTTAAATTTTGATTTTTTCTTCATTCGTTCGTAAACGTACAAAAATTTCGAATTCACAAAAAAAAAAAAAAAAAAAAAACACCGAAAAAGGTCACCGCAGAAATTTAAAACTTTGCATTTGACACCACGAACACGTTCGTAATTTTTTTATTTTTCTGTTTTGTTTTAGGAGAAGCAGACGAAACGTCGACGATGAACCTGAAGAATCCGAGGGTAGAAGTCCCATAGGTCCGTGGCCACACGGTTTAAGTTCCGTTTTTGCCGGATTAGGTTGTACCCTCGGCCTTTTTAACATCAGCAGATTTGCCGTATTGAGCATACATTTCGGGTCAAATTTCATTTTGCAATTTTTAATGTTGTCACTCATATTAGGCGTACCTTTATTAGCTTTTCATGCGTCATTAGGACAAACTTTAGGAGCCGGACCGATAGACATGTGGAAAATTTCACCACTTTTCCAAGTAAAAACACATTTATATTTAATAAAAACTTTTTTTTGTTTTCAACTCATTGTTTGTCATTTCAAGAGTGTAATTTTTTTTTTCTCTCTATTATTTTCAGGGTATCGGCGTGGCATTATTATTAGCTCAAGCACTTATAGGAATGTATAGCATCGTCGGAGTTTCCTGGATGTTTGTTTATTTTCGAGATTCGTTTATAACGAAACAAGATTCTTTTAGATGGGCAGAACCGTTTAGACATTACAGAGAAGGTAACACATTTTTTTCTGTTTTCCTTTATTATTATTGTTATTCTTTAAATAAGCATTTATTTTCTAATTTGTTTTTCTTTATATCCTCAGATAATTTTTTCGCTACATCGATATTAAATATGAGCAGAAGACTGGAAGAAACCGTGCCTGATTATTTAAATGTGGTAGTTTTACAAAGACATGCTTTATCATCACCTGAAAATGCTTTCGGGCATTTAAAATTTCAACTAACGTTTAATTTAGCCGTCGTTTGGATGATTGTTTTCGTATCGCTTAGCAAAGGTAAATTTTTTTTTTTTTTTTCAAATCATTTCTCGTCGTCGTTACCATTGAAATCAATAAAAATTATTCGAATGGCGATATTGTGAACATGTTGAAATATGTTGGAATTTAAAATATTCTAACTGGACTCTACAGTCTCTTTCCTTAGAAACGACTCGTTAGAATTTGAAATTGTCATTTCCACAAATACTCGCGTTGAGCACCCACTTATTCGCATAGAAAACACAAATTTAATTACCAGATTGTACAGGTTCCTCAGGATTGTTGTCTTCTTTTGCTCCACCTTCTTTTGTTTCGCCTTCTTTTGCTCCGTCTTCTTTTGCTTTTTTGTCTTTTGCTTCTTGTTTTTCTTCTTCGTCCGTTGCCGATTCCGATGAAGACCTTTTATATTCGAGATCGAATTCTCTTTTGTTATCATCTATTTCACCGAATTCTTCTTCGTTTTCGCTTTCCCTGGGCGAGGAGAGAACTTCACTTACTGATCTTGGTAAAGATGTATCGCTGAGCATGTAATACGGTCCTAATGCTTCCATTTTCGAAGGACTTAACAAAGGTTCAGCCTCGTCTATTTCGTCCGCTTGAGGTTTACCATAAATCAAAGAGAAATCAATGTTTTTGAAATATAAAGCGTATTCAGGTGCGGAGGTAAGTAATGCAATTTCTTCATCGGATAAAATAGCTTTATTTAAAACTTCCAATGCGTGCTGTAATATTTTTCCCTTTCTCATAAAAACGGAATCTCTCCTTTTTTTAAACAATCTTACTTTAATATCCATTTGAAAATATTTTTCTTCTTCCATTTCACCCAATGGTATTAATTTAACAAAATTTGTTTTCTCCATTATTTTAAGAGCGCTTTTAACAATGTTCTGAAGTTTTTTAGATATTTTTTTCAATTGCATGTAATCGGATTTAAACGCATTCATTGAAATTTGTTTGTCTTTCATATTTTTTTCAAAATCTTTCATTTTAACTTTTTGCTTTTGAATTTCCGCTTCGATAAATTTTTGCCTTCTCAAATAATTTTTATTTTCTATTTCCGCTGCCGTGTATTTTTCCAAAACCTTTAATACGTTTACTTTGTCTTTAATCAGTTCTAAAATGGTTTTTTTTTGAGTTATGTATCTCGCAATGGCTTTGTCTTTTTCCGTTATCATGTTTCTTTGCTGTCTTTTGTACGTTTCGATTAAGTATAGAGCTTGCGTGTATTTTTCCCTATATTCCATGAGTTCTTTTCCCACTTGCCTCAACTCACACTCGATCGCTTTATTTTCTAATGTCATTCTATAACAAGCTTCTCCGGCTTTCTTTTGAAAAGTATCCTGAAACTGTATCGAGAGTTGAAGTAACCTTGCTTCGAGTTCTTTTTTCATTCTGACTTTTGCAAATTCTCCCTTTCGCCTTATGTTAAATAATACTCTTTGATGTTCGACTTCGGATTCTGCCATTGTGTTTATCAATTTTTCCAAATTTTCATTATAAGCATCTTTATTTCGTTTGAATTCCTCAAGGATTCTCGTTTGTTCGTTTAATACTTCTATTTCACCATTCAATTCCGCGACCATGTCGTCGAATTTTTTTCGTAATTCTTCTATGTGAATTTCGCCTCTCTCAGTTTCAATCTTAATTTTCCTTTCAAGTTGAAGTCTTTCTTCACGTTTTTGTATTTTCGTTTCTTCCAATTCAAATAGCAATTGTTCTTTTTCGTTAATTACAACACCATTTTCTTTTTTACACTCTTCAACTTTTTCTTCAAGTTCCAACGTTTTGGATTTAAAATCTTCTATTTTCGAACCGTATTTTTCAATTTTCTTATCGATATCATCGAGTTGAATTTCGTAAATTTCTTTTTCCAATTCTGTGACGATACCCGGCGGTAACCGAGGTGTTTTTTGATTTTTTTTCATTTTATATTATAATTTATTTATATTTGATTTTATAACTAATATAAAAATAATAATAATAATAATAATTAAAAACAAACGTTAAATATAAATAAAAATATTAAAAATTTTGATATAAATGGCGACCGCCATTAGTCAATGCCTTCATTATTACAAAAAAAAAAAAAAAAAAATTTTTTTTTTTTTTCCTCATTTTATATTTATAATAAGTCGAATGAATTTAATTTACAGGTTTACGATCTTACGGAAAAGTCGTTTACGTTTTTTCTGTAGTACCTGTCCTAGGAGTATTAATTATTAGTTCTAAACTTTTGGGTTTGATACCAGTTTATAGAGGATTTTTTCCACAAACGGAATGGTCGGAATTTTTTTTAAATCCGAAAAGTTGGATTTCTGCGGCCACAGAAGTTATGTTAACGTGGAACCTACTCGGAGCCGCAACTATGCAAGTTACTAGTCATAATCGAAGTGGTAAAAAATTATGGCGTGATATCGCAACAATTGCTCTGCTGACGCTTACAGTTTTAATATTAGCCGCATTTTTGGGAAATTTATGTTATCAACTGATTTCTCTAAAAGGATACACTTACGTTCCAAGTTCTTTCGGTGTGTGTGTGTGTGTTTTTTCATTATTATTATTATTATTAATTTTAATTTTTTTAAGACGTTGTCAAATTCAAATTTTATACGTTTTTTTTTTTTTTTTTAGAAAGAATTTCTACTTACTCATTTCTTCGACCTCCTGGAATGCCTTTATTCCCTTCCAACTCCATTCCACTTCGTCACATGTCGCATGCATCACTCGTTGCTGGAGATAGGGTTTCAAAACCTGGAGCCGCACATGAAAGCGGTTATCAAGTTATAAGGCTTGCAACCGAACTTATTCCCGCAACGTTAGCAATTTTAGACGGAAATTACTTATCGCCGTTTTGGGCGGTGCTCTTTTACTTCACATTAATACTATTTGGTATAGCACAACAATTAGCCATATGGCACTGTGTTATAACTGGAATAATGGCAATAAATGCTCCTACGTTAAAGTCATGGGAAACAACCATAACATTTTTCACTTGTGCAGCTGGATTTATTTTAGGTCTTCCAATGACAACAGAGGTACGTGTTTCTTACATATGTACATATTGTATAACATTTATGGCGCTCGTTTAAAAATTCATCAATTTTTTTAGCTCGGAATTTTCGTCGTTTACTTTTTGGATTACTGCCTCGGTGGAGGTTGGTGGGTCATCTTGTTGACCCTAATGGAAATCTGCGCTATACTCATGGTGAGAGGTCGACCTTATTCCGGAGAAAATATTTGCATAGCTCTTTTTGGAAAAAGAAGCAATTGCATCTCATTGTGGGCAGTACCGTTGTTAACATTCACGTGGAATGTTGTTATGCCTGTTGCTTTGCTAGTTATGAGCATTACCATTTTTAAAAGTGGCGGCTACCGAGATCTCTGGATATGGAGATGCGGAAAAGGAGATTATTGGCCCTTATGGACTCGAGAAGTCGGAGTTTTCGTTCAAATTATTCCACTTCTTTGCATTCCAATAATTGGCTTAGTACAATGTTACAAATACTTGTCCAACGGACCTGCGGATATTTTTGATGTAAGTACTTTATAAAATAATTACATATTAAGTAAAAAAATAGTCATTATGATTATGAATTGAATAAAATGCTTACAACTTTTTAGAGACTGGCAAATTTATACCGTCCGGCAGTAAATATAAGCGGTATTGCTGATGAAGACAACACAGCCACAAATTCTAATACACCTTCCAATGACTCAGGGACTAACAGCTCAACAGAATTACCTCCAGCAGAAGACCCTCCGCCAAAATACACACCGCCACCTTCATATTCGACTGCAACAGGAACAAGGTTTGAATTTAATAATTATAACGGTTTTTTACAACAAACACCACGTTGGACAAAACATGATATATCCAAAATTACCTTGTAAAATTTTATTAATTTTTAGAATAGCAAAGTTATTGCGCCAAAGTTTTAGAAGGAGTGTTCGTAGAATTCAAAACGTTCTAGGACCGGAAATAGTTCAACCTCCCAGACCTCCTCCCCCAGATTATGCTTCCGTATTAGTTGAAATGAATTTGAATAGAAACGATTGCCGAGAAAATATGTCTCCATCATCTGGTGCAAATACTTTTACAGCAGCAGGTAAAATAAGTAAAAAAAAACATGCCCAACGTTTAATTATAGAAGTTTTTTAGTTTTTTAATTAAACTTCATCGCGCACAATGAAATTAAAACACAACTCGATTGCTTACGATAATTAAATCTATTTATTAGTTCAAAAAAAAAGAAAAAATTTTTTTTTTCTAACGACCGAACCGATGACCATAGACAAACTAAAATTTCATAGAATAATAATAGATTACACTGCCACCTCGCGTCAAATAATGAAAATACGAAAAAAAAAACAGTTTTTTAATAACCGATGATAAAAATTCTTTGCTGACTAAATATGAAATTTTTTATTATTTAATGTGATAAAAATAAATAAAAAATAAATAAATAATTTATTTCAGATGTTGCACAAGTTTTACGATGCAGTTTTAGAAGAAATATTAATTTAAATCAACAAACCTCAAACGAAGGAACCAATACTTCTCAGAATCTAGTCATTCCTTTCCGTGAGAATAATTAACTAATAAAAATAATATTTTAAATAATTATATTTATAATTTTTAAATTAGTTTTATTTATTTATTTTTCATTTATTTTTCCTTATAATTATTACTTACACATATACAATTTTTGGAAAAAAAAAAAAAATAAATTAACAGTTAAGCGTTTATTTTAATAAACGTATGATAAAACCATTTCTGAAATCATGAAAAATCTTCTTAAAAAAATGTAAAAATTTCATTAATTAAGCAAAATAATCGTCATATAAATATTATTTTTGTATAAGATGAAAAAAAAACGAATAATTTTATATCGAAACATCTTAAAAAAAAAAAAAAAGTAAAAAACTAAGGTTTAACAAAAATAAAATGAAAAAATAATTAAAAATGCATTTCAATTTAAAAAACACAATTAAATGTGCTCTTAAGATAATAATGATAATTGTTTTACCAATGATTAATTCCAATTAAATTATGATTATATAAAAAACTTTTTACAAATTGTTCCAAAGAATATAATTTAAAAATTAATATAAAAATAATGTTTTTTTTTTTTTTTTTATATATATTTATATAATTTACAAAAATAAATTTTTTTTTTTTTTTAAAGAATTTTTTATTTAAAACAAATGTTAATTTTTTTTTTTTATAGAGAAATAATTAATTAGGTTTACTTTTATTACAATTTTAAAAACATTTCAAACTTAAGGCTCAGCCGAATTTTTATTATACTTTTTTACATAATCTTAATTTGTTCTTAGTTTAATTCAAAACCAACCAATTTACCAGAAACCAGTTTCCATCAAAACTTTAACACACACATATAAATATATGTACATACATGTACAGAAACAATTATTAAAATTTGAGTGTCACAGTTCATCACTATCAAATCTAAAACTACTGACTAAATCTGCAACTCTTTTGCATCCAGATACTGACAAACCATGAGTGTTGAAATCCATTTCGTTAAGAATTTCTTCGACAATTTCATTTTTTATAGGTTTATTATTGTTTTTTAATTCTGTTATTATACACTTTCTAACCTCTTCCTCTCCGAGAGGAAGGAAAGGAAGATATAAAGAAACTGAATGACTATCCAGAATAGAACTTTGGTGAAAAGCACCCTCTGTTGAATATAGAGAAAGACGTAAATCTGATTCAAAATCTTTATATTGCATGTCATCTCTTAAAATTCCTTGTTTCCAAAGATTCATATATTTTCTATTAATGGCACTCCCGCCTTTGTTCGATATGAATATGAATATACCGTTTTTATAATTAACAGAATCTATTTCATCATTGTAATCAAAATATGGTTTTATACCATCTAGAACTCCAGCTGGAATTTTGTCCACTTCGTCAAAAATAAATGTAGACAAATGACAATTGCTAATGTTTCCCTTTATCCAATTTTGAATATTTATCTTGTACTCATCAACATATTCTTTCTTATTTCTAGGAAAATGTATTCGACCATTGAAAAAGTGAACAAATTTGCTTTTACTCTTATATTTATATATATTGTTTATTATAAGTTTTGTAACATGAGTTTTACCGCTCCCAGTCCATCCATGCATTAAAATAACTAATGCTTTTCTGGGCGTTTCATTAAAACGATTTTTAAGAGTAGATATTAATTTATTTATTACAATATTTTGCCCATACAGCAATTCATTAAAATCTTTTTTCAGTTTTTTTATATCAGGTTTTATAAAATTCGAATTACACCTTTCATAACCAATATAATTTTCTATGGAATCCAATAATTCAGACCAAAAACAATACCCCAAACTGAAAGTTAATGTAAGTATCAAAAATATGCCTATTTTCATTTTTATTCGAGTAATAAAAATATAAAATTATCTTTGTTAAAAATTATTAAATATGAAGTTTCTTTAACGAGAGAGAGAAAAAAAAAAAAATTTGTCGTAGTTTATTTCGAGACTTAAAGACACTCCCAAAAATTTCTAATTTTGTTTAATTTAAAGATCTAAGTAGAATAATTGTTGTTATGAACTCCTGACATCATTTACACTTGCTGGAACTTTAATTTCTAATTTATCAAGTTCTTTAGACAACAAAATTTGACAACCAAGTCTGGATGTATCTGTGAGCTCATATGCTAAATCTAACATATCCAGTTCTTCATCTGTCGGTTTATCGGGTAATTTATCATAATCTTCCTTTTTAAAAATTAAATGACATGTTGAGCAAGTAAGAGTTCCTTCACAAGCTCCAAAACCATCTAATGGAACATTATTATTAACTACAACATCCAAAAGAGAATCTCCTTCTTTTCCTTTCGCTGAAAGTTTTTGACCGCTAGCCAAACAAAATGTTACTTCTAACCTGCAAAAATATTACAATTTTGTATGAAAAACAGAAAAAAAATTTGTTTTTGAAACACCAACATGTTTTATTTAAAATGTGTGTAAAAAAAAAAAAGTAAGTTTAATTAAATACTTATTACTGAGGGTGAGTATTTCTAAATGTTATTTTTATTAAAATATAAGATATTAGTTTTAAGAAATAATGGTACCCATTATTAAAATATATTGAAAAACTAAAATTTATATTCTCTGAAGGAAATATTATAAAATTTTTTAATTATTTAAAGACATGTAAACAACTGTATAAAAAAATGTAAGTTATATTTACTTTGAAGAAATCGAAGAATGAATTACTTTAAACAATATTGATTCTAGAGATTTTTGATAAGTGTTAAAGTACGTACACTATCAAAACATATGGTTTACAAATAACCTAACAATAAAAAAAAGAAAAATATCTAATTAAAAAAAAAATTTTATTCCCAGTACTTACTGTATGCTTTAATATTAAAACAGGTTAATGAGATCTTCAAATAAAATTATTTTTTTAAAACTTATAACACTACCACCAAAATTTATTTAAACTAATAGGAAAAATTTTTTTTTTTTTTTTTTGAATTTCGGTTTACTGTAAAAAATTGTAATAAAAACATTCAAGCTTACAAAGTTCACCCTTGGCAGGAAAAATTTTCTGAGTTCTTCTAAGACACCCTTTTAAGGGTTACTTTAAATTTTTGTAAACTTACTCTTCTTTTTTCAAAACTGGCTGACTTGTCACAACACACCTTGTACAAGCCTTGTTCAACAACCAAGGACACTTATTCTGCAATAATTTTGGAAAACCTTTACCACTTAATATTATTTTTAAGTAATTCGATAACATTTCCAATAAATGTTTAAAATTAAAAACTTTAATAATAAAAATAAAAATTTTAATTAAAATGTTATTAAATTAAAAATTAAAATGCGAATTCATCAACTTCTGTTTCCATGTTTTCTATTTCCGTAACATTCTCCCGACATTTTTCTCTCAGAAAAATGGCGCCTAAAAATTTGTTTAAAATTGTAAATTTTCATTTCATACACTTTCGTTTCATTCCACATGATTTTAAATGCGTTAATAATTGATTTTAATTCATTTTAAATAATTTAATTTTAATAAAATTAAGAGTTTAAAGAGTTCAGATTTATTTAAATAAATAATTATATTAAAAAATAAATTTAAAAAACAGAATTTTAATTTTTTTTTTTTTTTTTTTTGATGCTTATATTAGGAAAAAAGTAATTTTGAAAACAAAATAATGATAAATATAAATTAATATATTATAGGGTAATAAGAAATATGGATAGACATTGACTAGTATTAAAATAACTGGCTGGCTTAACAAATAGAACAATCTAAAACTTGATCATCAGGTAAAGACTTGATTAATAAGGCTACAGCTTTTGTTATGTATGTCATGGTGCCATAACTTCCACTCGGAGCACTATCATAAAAATGCTGACAAATATACGCGGCACCACCACAGACTAAACTATCATTTTGTCTTGTATCTCCCCGTTTGGCACAACAAAGTGTAGCATCTCCACCAACTTTAATCTAAAAGATGAATCATTTTTTTAAATGTGAAAATCATATAAGATTATTAATGTAACACTTATGCAATACCTGATCTTGTAAAAACATGGCATTAGCTTTGTGAACAAGTTGATCTACAGCAATGATACCACCCAAGCATTTAATGGCATTGTGCTCGGTGATTAGGGTTAAAACCATTAATGCTTCGACCATGAGTTGCCTATATTCAGGTTGTGGAATTGAATTTAAAGCAGTTTCTACCGCCAGAGCAAATTTAAGCTCTCCCGAAGTCATCTTTAAACGAAAGAATATTTATTGCAACTCATTTCGACTAAACTTTAAAAAATTAAATAAAAAGTGCTACAACTACCTCTTGCGTTAAATTTTGAGGAAGTAATCGTCCCTCGATGGCCAAACCTTGACACTGGAAAACAAAATAACAAAAAAAAAAAATAATCTACGTTAATTAAATCTATGGATTTAATCGAATTTCAGGTTCGCGTAAAAAATATAATTACCTTTTCGAGAACTGACCAAACTTGAGGATAAAAATTTCTAGGAACTCTGTTTAAAGCTCCGTCCAATCTTCTTCTTCTCAGCCATTGTCCTTGACGATCTTCCGAACGTTCATCATCATCATTTTCCGAACTGACGCCAGATAATGATAATCCTATTTGACTTTTCTAAAATTCGTTTCCATTTTTAGTACAAAAAAAAAAAATCAAATTAAAAGAAAGAAAATAATTGCAAAAACTTACTTTACTGACTCTACTAGATTTACAGCTAATAATCGAATAGTTTCCTCTTCCAACTAGAAAGAGAGAAAAACATTAAATTTGTAAAATTTTACTTTAAAAAAAAAATCGGTTTTGATTCAAATTTATTTTTTTTTTTATTAAAAAAAATTACCACTCGTCAATGCGAATTCTTTTCCACTTAAAATATGATGGAGTAAATTTTTCATTTCGAACGGTGATAAATTTAATAAATGTTCCGATGCTTCGTCTCCGCTGCAACTTAAACTTCTTGACAATTCAGCCGCCATTACCTAAAATTTTAAATATGTATATATTTTTGTAGTAGTTTTTGTTTTCAGGTAGTATTAAGTTTTAGGACCCGGAACGCATCTTTTTTAATTCATTCTACACTTACGAATGGTCTCAATGAAAAAGAAATGAAAAAAAAAAAATTAACCTGTATTATCAGGCCGACTCGAAGCCGCAGCATTTCCAAAAATAATTGTGGTTCAGTACGAATAAACACGGCTAAATAAACGATTAGTTCTTGGGTTAACATAGAACTGCTTTGGTCATCCCCGTAAGCCTGATGTATTAATTGTCGCAATTCTAAATCTGGAATAGCTCCCGTAATTGTTTGTTCGCTCACAGGCGGCATTCCAATTGTCACCTAAATGTAAAAATCCTCTTACTGAAAATTATCGTAACAATTAACGAAAATAATAAAATCTTTTTGTGGGTTTTACTCACTTGTTTTTGCCTCACAACTAAATCAGTCACAGATTTTGCCAAATCATCCGAACGTTTTCCGAGAACTCCAGCCGTATGCCTCACGAGGCCCCACAATTTTTGTTCGCAAGCTTTCACGTACAGAGTCTTTAATAAATCCTTGACGGTAACGATTTTACCATTTTGAGTTACCCCTCAAAAAAAAAAAAAAAAATATTCAATTTTAATTCGAAAAAAAAAAAAAAAAAAAAACAAATTCAAGAAAATAAATATACCTGTACTGAATTGAAGACCTTGCGTATCGACTAAATACTGTAAAATATCTCCTTCTTCTTCTAAATTTTCTGTTTCTTTCAACATTGTTAACAATTCTTCGACTTCGGTATCTGCATATTGCGTTTCAGACATCAATCTTAAGAAAGCAACAAGTCGATTACGATTTAATAATTTTATTTTTAAAATATCTAAGAAACAATGATTAATATTCATGTATACCTAACGTGACCAACCGAGGGACCGACTTTCCATTCCTGACTCACTTCTTCCGGTGAAGAACTACGTTTTGGTCCTTCTTCCTTCGAAAAATTTTCCGAATTACCAATGTCTTTTAAAGATGATCTTCGGGGTACCAAACATTCATCCATTTGTAAACCGAGAGAATCAGCTAAAAATATTTAAACAAATCTTAAATCTTTTCTCATGTGTTTTTCATAAATAGTATAAACATTTTTTTTTTTACTTACGTTCAACAGTGATCGATCGAGTTTTTTTAATGGCTCCTTTAACGCTTATTTTTCTTTTCATAAATTTATCACCTTTCGACATACTCTTAGTAGTTGGATTCAGTATAGATTTAGTTATTTTTTTATTTAAATGTTCTTCTAAATATTTTTCAACCTTCAAAAAAAAAAAAAATTAATTATAAAAAATAAACCTCCTGTCCTATTATAAATTCAAAAGATTTAACTTGGTAACTTACATCGGGATCTAATCTATCAGGATATCCTTCTTCTTGACTACCTAAAAAACTCAAATTCGTGATATTTGATGTGGTAAGAAATTCATTTAGATTTCCAAAAGCTACTCGGGTACCGTTAATATAACCCGACTTTAGTTTTTTAATAGTTGTAACCATTCCTAAAGGTATTTTACCTTTATCTGAAGAGTAAAATAAAAAACTTTTTAAGGTACAATCAAACAGAGTTAAAAATTAATTACCAAAATCGGTAGTTACCCAAATGAATATTTTTTAGATTTAGTATTACTAATGGTCTGCCCAACATATTTTGCCAACTCGATTTTAAAAAATTAATTTCAGATTTAAAAATATCAATCATAAGTTCGTGATCCGAAGCTATGTAAAAATGAGTTGAATCAATTTTTTGAGGTGTGAATGCTATTATTCGATCATTTAGAGAATACAGTTTAGATGTACTCAAAATTCCGACGTCTCGTGATCTTCGCCCGGATAAACCTAATTTTTTATTTCTTCCTAAAAAATTAATAAATACATTCATAATTTTAAAGTGATGATGGAAGAAAAGAAAATGGATTGTTTACAACTTATTACAGGGAAATAAAAAAAAAAGCAATGCTTACCAAGGTAAGTGAATAAATGGCTGAGAACCCTGGCAGGTTGAATTTCGATAGGCAAAACTTCTTCAACGGTTTGAAGATGAATATCGTGAACAAGCAACATATTTCTTATGGTTTCATCTTCAGCCAAAACTACCACTTGTACAACAACATCTGGTTTTTTTTCGGAGCATAATCTTCTGTTTAAGGGATCTAATTCTCCGATTGCCAAAAAATTCTACATAACGATAACAATAAAAAAAAGGTTACTATAGTAAATGAAATAATTAAATTTAAAAAAAAAGAAGTTTTTAAAAAGTATAATTAAATACCTCTTGTAAAAGTTTTCCTAATATATACAAAGACTGAGCCCATAAAAAGGGACAACGACCTTTTGGAATTCTAATTTGACTTCCAGGATTTTCATATTCTGCAGCTACATTGTCATGTTGAACAGCATATAATTCAGGCACGTACTTGATGTCATTATCAGAGGAAATTAATACCTAGAATTAAAAATGTGTCTTATTAATATTAGCATTCGAGTTTCCTATATAAATTTATTTTGAATTAATAGTCGTAATTTTTACCTCTTCCAATTTTTCTGAATATTTAAGAGATAATTCTTTATTGCCTTGAAAACAAGAATCTATTATAAAATAACAAAAAAATAGAGGCCATTCACACTCGATATTTTCAAACATCCTTAATTCCCAAGGCTCGTAGTACAACCTGTTTGGATCCTGTAAAAAGTCACTCGATGAATGAATGATAATTTTTTTAAAAGTAGCCAATTTGTGCTTATAAGCTATTATAAACTAAAATAAATAATACTTTCAACTTACTTCTCTTGGAGTTTTGTGCCCATCCCTGAGAAACCTTTTACATCCATAATGCCCTTGAAGTTTAGATATTATTGTATTTCTTGTTGTTTGAATAAGATTAGAATCGTCAACTGCAAACGCTGGAAAGCTGATAACAGCAAGAAGGCTAGAATCTATTTCCTTTGAATTGGATTCCCTAGGAAGCATAGACTGAAACATTTAAATTCTTCTTCTTCTAAAACCATAAAATCTAGATCAAAATATCAAAAAAATTTGAAAAATTTACCTATTTTTTCCTTTTTGTAAATTTAAAAGAAATCAGAAATCTATTTAGTCTCTTTTTCCAGTAAGATAATTTTTTAAGATTTTAAAATTGAAAAATATTCATTAAATTTACCTGAAGAACAGCATGACATTTTTGAGCTTCATCAGCGAGAACATGAATGATTGAACAAGGACCACCTCTAGCTCCAAAAAGATCAAGTTCATTCATTGATTCTAAAGCTGCCTTTGCCATTCCGACAGAACTAGCATTGAGTTCAGGCAAACCATGATTAGCTTTATCTCCTCTTTCCCAAATTCCATAATCCTAAATGAAAATGTCTATAATTTACTATTAAAGTAATTTAACGATTTTCTAAAAATTCTAAAATGTTATTTTTTTTTATGATAAAGAAGGATTTATTACATAAATTTCTCAATAAATTGTACTTACAGGAATGCAATAGGCTGATTCTACATAAAATACTAAGTTTTGAATGAAAGCAACTTCATCAAGATTAAATATTATCTGAAGACCTGAAAAAAGGAATGTTTCATTCGAGAACATTAAAAATTTTACAATATGATTTTAGAGATTTTAGGAGATTTACCAGAAGCTGTCATTTGAGCCAAAACTAACAAATATAAAGAAATGGCATCAATTTGAAGATGACCCCATTCATCATCTTTTACTACAGGTTGACCTGTTGCTGAACTAAATTTAGCATGCAATGAATCACACGGATTTTGAGTACATTTAAATTTTTCAACCTTATCTTTCTGTTGCATCATGGCACTGAGTAAACCTCTCATTAATTTGACACAGCTCTACAATATTTTAAAATAAAAATTAAATCGTTTAATAATTTAAATGACAGACAACAACAAAATTCTAAACTACAAAAATTTCTTACTTGCTTTAGTTCATAAGTGGTGGCCCTGTCTTCATCAGCATCAGCAATTTTATTATATGCCATTGATAATCCCCACACAGCCATTATACAATAAACATTATCCCTTATCCAAGCGTGATTATTGTCTGGACTGGCAGGAAACAAACCGGTAACTGGGTTCTAAAATAATTTATGTAAAAATTAAAAAATTTTCCATTAATATCATTCTCAAAAAATTTTTGACACAAGTGTAAATAGTACCTGATGTATCATAATGACATTTTGTACCATTCGTTGATAGTATTCGAGTCGAATTCCAAAATTATTACGACTTTTCATTTTTTTTTCTTTTTTTTTTTCTAAATAAACTTTACTAAACTCACTCTTATGAAAATTTGATTAATAACTAAATAATTTCTTTGGCTAAGTTACAAAAAATTAAGAAATAATTCATGTCGTCTGCTGTCTTTTTTAAATTAATAACGGGCTTAAATTACTTGAATGCTATTATTCAAACAACATCATTAATCAATTGATTTCCTTTTTTTTTTTAAGAATTAACTCAAATTAAATCGTAAAAATTTATTTTCTACTTAATATTTTTCGTATATTATTATTTAATTTTACTAATTTACTTACTTTAATTTAAACATTAACTTTTTACGGACCTTTTAAATCCAGTAATGTAGTCAACTTCCTAAAAATAACAAGTGAAAAATATTAAAAAATTAAACGGTTAAAAACAAATTTAATAACAGATAAATAAATAAATATTATTTATATAATATTCTACATTATTTCTCATTATAAATAAATCATATTACAAAATTTTATCTATAAATAAATACAAATAAAAATCTTTAACTAATATATAAAATTTGTTCTCGAATTAATAATATATTTTATATAAAATAATAATTAAGTTATTTAATTAATATTGTATAACAATATTGAAAATGAGTCATTTTAGTTTTTAATACTGTAAAAGTTATTTTATTAATGAGACTGAGCTATTTCTGAAAAAAATTCCAAAATGTTTTTTATTGAAAATTCTAAAGTGATCATTGAGCCGGGATAACATCTTTGTATAAAATCTTCTAAATATTTATATTGCTGAATGAATTCTTCTTGCATTGCTCTCCATACCACCTGAATGTGAAAAAAAAAATTTTTTAAGAAAAAAGAAAAATTTTGAAAATTAATAAAAAAAAAAACATAAAAAATTCTCACTTGTAAAAGATTTTCATCCTCGCTTAAATGCTTTTCTACTTTTCTATAAAGATTTTCCAAACCCTTTTTGACTTCTCTCGAAGGATAAGCATTTATAACTTTTCTTAATTGTTCTTTACTAAAAGCCATTTGATAACTTATTTCAGATTCTTTAACTCCCTGTGCAACTTTTGCTTCAACTCCTTCGAAAAACAGCTGAAATGCAACAAAAAGCATCGATACATAAAATTAAAGTAATTAAATTAAGTAAAATTACGTCTGATTTTGTTTTACATTTAATTTTTCCAAAGGACGTCCAAAATACTGTGTCACGTAATTCTTTAAAGCTTCGTTATATTTTAATTTAGCTTCTTTTCTATAACTATCGAGAACTCCAATTTTTAACTGAGATAAAAGATCGTGAATGTGATGAAAATTTTCTAAAATTTAAAATCGTAAAAGTTTTATAAAAGATCAAGTACTTAAAAGAAACGATGCAAAATAACAAAAAAAAAAAAAAAACCGTTACCCATTTTAACAACTTCTTGAGGAGTTTTCAAATGTTCCGATGCTATTCTCGGAATGGCATCAAACATTGCCGCCATTAATTTTATATACCATTTGTCTAAATCTCCTCTTCTTTCGGTTGTTTTGAAAATCGATTGAGCAGTTCTTGCAAATTCGTCGAAATTCGACACGAATGGTAGAATTCCACATTTCGTTTTCTTATTCGGTTTCATTTCTTCGATGGATCTCAAATTGGCTATCATAAATTTATCGTAACATCGTTTAACTAATACCAATATGGATCCGTATGTTTTACTTAAAAATGATTCCGTGTCTTGGGCAGACATGACGTGTTGCGTTAGTCTAACGAGAGCATGCATGCAGTAACTGGAAAAAAAAAAAAAAGGAAAAAAAAGAAAAACATTATCTCACTCTTAACTTTTTAGTTTATACTTGAAATAATTACGTACTATCCATCTAATTTTTCGTAATAATTAAAAAAACTAGTCAGTTCTGATTCTAATGTGTGAAATAAATCTCCCATCATTTTTCTCACTTCTTCATTTATTTGTTTTTCTATTTTTTTCGTCGGTAATAATCCCGATCCCGAATCGTATTCGTCACGGGATTCTAAAAAGCCAGCATCTAAAGTTGTTTGTGTGTTCTTGTAAATAAAAAGCAAACATTTTATTTATAATTAATTACTCATTTAAAAAAAAAAAATTTTTTTTTCTTTTGCAATTGCATAAAGTATGTAAATAATTATTAAAGTTTTACCTTTGTGGTTGGACTAATTACGTCTAATTGGAAAAATGAAATGCAAAAATTTTGTTCGTTAAGACAAACCAATTCTAATTCGGTTAAAGCTTTTTCAAAATATTCATCAAATCTTAATCTTTCACTTTCATCTATTTCTTGATTCCACTGTTCTTTTTCTACGCCTTTAAAACAAGTGAAAATAAATATTAAATGCAAAAAAAAAAAAAAAAACAAAAAAAACAAAAAAAATTAAATAAATATCTCTTACCTAAAAGGTTTGTGTTAGCAGGATATTTAGCACTTGCACTCAAACTCTGAGCTTGTTGCTTAATTTTTCCAGCTAAATCTTCTTTAGATTCATTTCCTCTAACTTTTCTATCTTTCCCGCTATTTATTTTCTGTCTTGCTTCTTCGAAAAAGTTTTTTATATCTCTATCATATAATTTATTTAATGATGATATATAAACCTTAATTAAAGCTAAATAAGCTTTACGATCCATAGCTTTGCACCAATGTATCAATTCTGTATAAATTTCTAATTCTTTGTGTATGGAATTACGATTTGGTAAAGTTAGTTCTCCAGAGGAAGAAATTGAATTCTCACCGGAATCATTACTCTGAAAACAAAAAATATAAAAAAATTAATAATTCTGAGTAAAATTTTCAAAAAAAATCAATTATAATGTTTTATCAATTACCAAATGAATAAATAAGTTATTGAGATATCTAGTTATGGTTTGGGAAAATTTAATTTTACACTTTTCAAATCTTTTTCTCTGATCTTGAACAGCTTGCATTCTGACAAGTGCCGGATGTATTTCGGCATTCATTGCTGCAATCAATGCTTTTCCAGCTGCGATGGCTTCTTTTAAACCTGTGGGAGTTGTTAAATCTGCTTCAATTAATGCATTTTGATGTTTCTGTGACAAATCTAGTTGACTCTGAAAAATGGATATTACAACATGAAAATTATGACAAATAAGAAATTATTAAACAAATGTATACAAATTTAAATGACTTACTATAATATTTTCTAAATCAACTAATAACTTTTGATTATTTTTATTTGCCACTTCAATTAGTAAATTTTTCTCTTCCATTTCCTCCATAGTATCTCTGATGTGTCTCAAAATTTCATCATAACAATCTAATTGTTCTTCTACTTTTTCAGCTTCCGTAATAGCTTCTTCTAATTTAATCATTAAATTTTCTACTTTTTGTCCAGATGATAAAACACTGTATACATTTTCCTGTAAAATTTTCCCTAAATTAAATTTTATTTATAAAGTTTTTTATTTTTATTGAAAATTCTTATTCGTATATAAACAATACCCCATCGAGAAGAGAAAGGTCTTTGGCTAAATTTTCCATAAATGCTTCTGCATTACTTATGGCCGTCTGGCAAGAGGACATTAACAAATCCAAATCTCTTTCTTCACTTTCAGTTATAGCTTGATATTCTTCAATTAAATTTTCCTCTTCATCTAATTCAATTCCTAAAATATTTAAAGAATGAGGACAATTTTTTCTCACATTAAGCCATATTTTTTTATATAAAAGAGAAAATCTAATAGTAAAGTAGTTAAGACCAAAATATTTTTGAGTAAAAGCAAAAAATTTTTACTCCTACCTTCTAATATTGGACTATCTTTTTTAGGCGAAGACATATCAATTAACCAATCATTTGGTATATTTTCAAAATTAGGTTTTTCTTTAGGTAAATGCCTACAGCAATACTTCCACAATTGCATTATAAAATTTTGCCTTTCTTGTAAATTAATCGCAAACCATTTATAAACCTTATCAAAATGTAAATCAAATTCATGCGTTTCTAAATCATTGTTTTTCCCATCCACTACCTTTAAATCACTCAACAACCACTTTCTTTTATTTTTATAAACATTTTTATCATTTTTTTTAATCTGAAATATAAATGAAATAAAATTATATCAATAATTAATTGATAAAAATCAAAAAGTTTTGTTTAAAATTAATTAAACTAAAAAAAGTTATTTTAAAAATTGTTTTTAAGTCTTTAAAGTACTTTTAAAAAATTTAATAAACAGGTATTTAAATTTATTTGCTTAACAAGTATTTTGTTCCAATATAATTTTACTTGCCTGATGAATTGTTACTGATATTGGAGTGACACAAGACACTACTAAGCATAAAAAACTAGACTTTTTTTTCTTATAAACTTTATTGACATGACAAACGGCAAGAAGTCTTTCTTCTGCAGGATTTAATACCTCACGTTGCAATGTATGTCGAATCGTTGCCATTATTTTAGTAAATAAACATAAAAAAGAATAATATTATATACGAAACTAAAGTAATGTATTTAAAAGCTTCATAATAAACAAGTAAGAATGAATAAAATTTCCCTGCAACTCAAATATTGCTAGGCAACAAAGTTTTGTATAAATAATAATATTTTTAAAAAATTTTTTAAAATGATAAAAAGTTTTTTCTTTTTTTAAATTTTACAAAAACTCCTAAATTTCAAAAACTTTTTATTGATGAAATTAATTCCAAACTGTGGTTCACTACTCTCCTGCATCAAAAATTTTTATTATGTTGCAAGTATTAAAATTATAATTTTAGATATTAAGCAAAAATAATTATAACTGTTTGTGTAAAATTATATTTTCATTATGAAATTAATTCAAAATATTTTTTTAGATTTTACATATGGAATCAACTATAAAGAACCATGTTATTTACAACAATGAAATAAAATATTATTTTTAAACAAATAAAAATGGGCAGTTCTTCACTAGGCTTTGAAATATTGCTTTATTTAAATTCATATTATTTTTGCATATTTATAATCGCTGAAATTTGCATTGGCATATTTAAAATAATTAATCTTCCATATCCTACAGGTGTTTTAATGTCAGAATCATTAATAATGATATTTTTAAGTTGTACCGAAACGATTAGAATATTTATGGGACATAAAGGAAATTTAACAGAACAATCATTAGGGGTTTTAATTTCAATTTTATTGACAATACCTTCAGTTTTGGGAATTCTTTATTTTCTTCTCTGGCAAACCTACGTACTAAGAATCGAAAGTATATTATGCGGCATACAATTGTCTCTGCAAGGAATAGAATTTTGCTTTGCTATTATTTGTCTTTTAAGATTTTGTAAAGCTGGAGTCTATTAAAAGTGTGTCATGATGACATTAATTTAAAATAAGTTTAGTATTTATTTCAAAAAAAAATAATTTACAGTTTTTATGTGAATAAAAATTGATTAATGTAACAATAATATAAATAAATATAATTAATAAAACTTATATTATAGTAGCTATAAACTATTAATTATTTAATGGAAGTCCCTCAGATAATTTTTAGACTTTATTTACATTGTTAACCAATAAATTCCTTTTTCTATTAATTGCTTTTAATCTTTGGTTGCAATATATTCTTAAAAATACTGATATAAAAACGAGAAATATTCCTAATATTCCAAGTGGGCTTATGTTATGATGATAAATAAGACAAGATAATAATATAGCTAAACCCTAAAATAAATAAAAAATTTCATTACTATAAACAATTGATGAGAATAAAATAAATGTTTGTAATGAAATCCTTACCTGTCTGATTGTCATAATAATAACAAAAACAACGGCTCCAAAATTTGATATAGTGTAAAAAATAAATAGCTGACCTGCAGCAGAGCAAATGGATAATAACAAACAGTCAAACATAAATTTATGATACTGTAATAAATAAATAAATAAAGAAAAGAATAATATAAAATATTTAAACTTAAACATTATAATAATGTTTAATATAAGAAATTACATTTATCATAAAATGTATAGAAGGAATGAAACCCCCTTGTTGTATAAGGGAAACAGTTGTAAATAGGCAAGAAAATAAATTAACTCCACACATCATTTGAACAGAACTCATGTGAAATTGACTAAAGAGAACTCCTTGCCAATTCGATGTGAAACTATCAAATATTAAATAAGCTGCTAATAAAATGATTCCTGAGAACGTGGTGACATTGTCATGTGCCTTATTTTCTTTACTTCCTAGCATAAAAAATGTCATACCAATAGAGATAAGAACAGCAGTTACATATTCATAATATTCATATTTCTTTCTAGAAACTAATTTTCCCATCATCATAACTGGGATTATCTTAGAGGCTTTGGCTAAAACCTAAAAAAAAAAAACCAATTCCTTTAACAATTTATTTAATTAAAAATTAAATTTAAAACCTTCTTCGTATTTCTATTTCGAACGAATAAAAATTAAATAAAATAAAAATTTTTTATTGTTAGTAAAATTCAGAAAACTTCATAATTTTTTTTAAAAATTTATACTTCATACCTGTGTAGGAAAACTAATGAATTTTAATGACTCATACTGACACCAAGAGCTCATGATATTAGAAAATGAGCAAAATATATATTTGTACATAGGTACAGAAGAATGATGCTGATTAGTAAAAAGAAGATAAGAACCTGAGATTCCGAAAGCTAAAATTCTATTAATAAAGACTAGAAATTGAGAATCGGTAAAGTGATCTTTATTTCCGGAAGAATCAACATACTCCTAAAATTAAAAAAAATTTTTACAAAATCATAAAATGATTTAAAATTTTGTAAGGTAAAATTTCAAAACAATTTTTTATTTTCACCTGAGTCATGACTTTTTCTTGAAGGATTCCCCATGTTAAATAAGTTAATTGTAACATAGAAAAACAAAAAATTAAAGTTAATGCTTCTTGGAAAACAGTTTTTTGTAGTGAAACTTGTCCTGCACTTTCTGTGATTCTATCATTATCAGAATGAACAAAACATAATTTTACAATATTACCTATGAGCCCCGACCCTATTTAAATTAAAATTATTTTTTATAATTTTTTGAATGACGACAAAAAAAATTTTAAAAAAAAATTTAGATATATTTTTTTTTTAAAATTAACACCTGAAAACTTTTCTAAATATTTAGTCTTTTTAACAAATTTAAATATTATATATCCAGGAATAAATACTGTAGCATATCCTAGAAGATTAAGTATCAATCTAAATATCCAGCTATTATTAAAATTATTTGAAATATTTAAACTTGAATTGACTTCATTGGATGATTCTTCGAATGCCTTTTTAAATAACTGTGTTGTTATATAAATAACAATCAAACTTCCTAAAATAATTATTCTGTAAAAAAAAAGAAAAAGTCTTTTACTTATAAAATGATTGTAAATTATAATTTTGAAATTTTTTTAAAACACTTTTGAATGAAATTGAATGCTATTATATTTCATTAAAAATTAATAAGAGTTGTTACAAAAATAAAATAATTAATTAACATACTTAAAAAGTGGATTTTTTTTTAAATGTAAAACTCGAATTAAATTTTATTCATTACGCTAAATAACTTTATTGCGGTTAATAAGTTAAATGCATCAAATATTTGTTTAGATAAAAACATTTTAAACAATATATATTTAACAATTGTATTAAGGGTAAAATAAATAAAGTTTTATGGCTGGTTAAGCTTTTTAATAATAAATTTTTACGATTCGATTACGTTTTTTCAAAAATTAAAAAAAGTACTTAACACGTTCATTAAAAAATCTGACTGATATTTTTTGCTACGTAAATATTAACTGTAATTTCCGACATAACATTTTTAAATTCAATATAAAATTTTAAAAAAACATAACATAAAATTAAATTAAAATTTACGTCACGAAACAAAAATTTTATTAATTTTAATTTTCAATATTTAAAATTACTCAACCGTAATTAATTCAAACAATTACTTTAATTAGGTGTAATGAATTATTGATTGAAAATAATAAAGTTTAATTGTTCGTCATTTTTTAAAACAATTATAAATGTTAATTTAAAAAATAAGTGACAATTTAATAGTTACTTACAAAATTACAAAATCTGGAGAAAATTTTCCCATTTTTTTTTTTTTTTATTTGGCTTTCAAAAATACTTAAAACGCAAGTTAATTCATTCATAAAAAAAATTTTCACGCCATTTTTGTAAATCGTCAACAAAACCGTTTATAGCTCAATGACACATAGTAGTCATAGAGTAAAAAATTTTTACTAGCAGAAGATACTCTACGTAGTAGGACATCCATTGTTACAATTCAGTGTTTTTAAACTATTTAAGTTTCCCCTTTTGATAGTAATAAAAATAATAGGAATTCTATAATGACACATTTACAGAAAATATCAATAAATATATATAAACATGGAAAAAATATTTATGGTTACAATAAACTTAGGTGAGCTTTTTTATTTTACAATTTCTACTGAATTGGTAAAAAACTAGTTGTCAAAAAAAAAAAAAATGTATATAAAATTTTTGTTGTCAGTTGCTCAAAGAGTTATTGCTCCAAAAAGCCCAACGAAATATTTGAAGTTAATGATAATTCATCAAAGCCAAGCAAGTCGAATAATGATACAAGTTTAAAGGAAAAAAATGAAATTGATAATTATCTTGAAGACCATAATGAAAATTCATTACAAACCAAAGTTTGGTCAGAAAAATATGAAGTATCAAAAGTTCTGAGGGAAAATAAATTCTACAATCAAATAGATGATATGACTAGTTTTTTAAAACAATTATACAGGCTAAATGCTTTTCCAAAAAATATTGATGATGTAATATATTTAATGAAAAAAAGAAAAATGAGAAGGCAAGTCCTTCTTCAACAATATTTACCAGGAAGGAAAGCTATTTTAAAACCTGATTTAGCAGCTGCTCATTTTATCATTTCTCGAGGAGGAATTGTTAAATTTAAAGGGCAAAAAAATTGGATTAGTTTAAAAGAGAGTTCATTATTGCCGAGCGTTTATTCTCCAGGATATTTTGTCGAAGCCATTAATGCTGAAAAAACAAATTTGTGTTTTGAAGGATTACAAAATATTTGTCAACTAGAATATTTAAAATCGTTGTCACTCAAAGGACTTAAAGAAATAAATGATTGGTGTTTAGATTGGATTACAAATGAATTTCAAAATCAAATTGAGGATTTAGATATTAGTTTTTGTACCAATATCACTCACAGGGGAATCCCTTCTTTACATCGTTTTGAAAATTTAAAAACACTAACTCTTGAAGGCATTTCAGAAGCACCAGAATTTAAATTAGCCTGTCTAATGTTATTAGACATTAAGCCATATTTAGAAATCAAAGGAATCGACTTATCAATTCCCAAGAAAATTGATCCTGTTAAAGATAAAAAGGTTGATGATAGTATTGAAACTGAAAAAAAAGTATCAGCTTATTCATAAAAAATTAATAAATAAATAAAATTAGTTTTGAATTATTTATCAAACCTGTAATAATAATAATAATATAAAATTTAAATAATAAACTATTAATTTATATTTACCTGTTTTTTTTTTTTTTTTTTTTAAATTTGAATGATAAATAAAAATAATTATAAATTCATAGTATCACAAAACAATATTAAAATTAAATAAATAATTTATGTGTTAAATGGTTAAAAAAAGAAGAAAAAAAAAATTAGATAAAAAAAAAAAAACAAACCATCATGTTATTTATTTATATACATTAAAATTTTATTTCATTCTAATTATGTTTTATTTTAAACTAATTTATCATGAATATACACAACGAAAAAAAAAAAATATTTATATATATATATATATATATATATATATATATATATATATTGGAAGTTAAGATAGAAGAAAATTAATTATATTATTTTATGAAACTTAATTGTGACGTTTTTTTTTTTTTAATTCAGATTATTAAAAAAAAAAAAAAAAGAAGCAAAACAAAACAAAACAAAACAAGACAAACAAAAACTTATTTTAAAAAAAAAATGATAATGATAACAATAACATACGTCAACCTCTCAATAATAAAAAAAAAAAGTCATACATAAATCATCATCACAACCGATAATAATAATAAAAAAAAAAAAATTTATGTATTTGATTATATCAATTATTAATTTATTTTTTATTTGCCTAAAACATTGCACCACTTTTTAAACAAAGAAAAAAAAGAAAAAAATTATTATTATTATTATTATTATTATTATTATTCATTAAAATTTATCAAGTTTTTTTTTGGGGGGGGGGAAATGTAAAAAATTAAAATTATTTAATTAAGTTTTCCATTTTATTTATTTATGTTTAAAGAAGGATTCATCATTTAATTTAATTTTTTTTGTACAAACATTTAAGATATATATATATATATATATATATATATATATATATATATATATATATATATATATATAAATCGGTGAAAATCAATCATGATGATAATTACATAATTAAATTAAATTTAAAACAAAATGATAATGATGACATTTAACGTTTAAATGCCCTTTTTTTGTTTTCTTCCTTATGTACATAAATAATAACAAAAAAAAAGTTTGAGCCCAATCGATTATTTCGGCTTTTTAATTATATTATTATTATTATTATTTTAAAGAAGATAGATTTTTTTTTTTTTTTTTTTTAGAGCACGACGACTTATATGAATATACACATACTTACACGTATACACGCACCCACGCATTCACACGCACACCTTTATATTCGAAAGCTTCTCATTAGAACTTTTTTTTTTTTTATATATATATACAATTTTATTAACATTAAAATATTACAATTAATTACACGTAATAGATAGAATAACGATTTTTATATAAAAAGTCAAAAAGAAAAAGAGGAAAATCCGATTGAAAAGAGACCGATCGATCGATCGATCGATCGATTGATTGATTGACTTTTTAGTTTTTAACATATACAAATTTCTACGTGATCGATAATACATAAAAATAAAACATTATTATTATTATTATTATTTTTGCACGTACCGCCGATTTTAAAAGAAAAAAATTTCTCTCTCTCTCTCTCTCTCTCTAATGATGATTACATAACACATTAATTTCCCCCTCCCCCCCCCCCAAAAAAAAAAAAATTGAAATTTATCATCGATTAAAAAAAGTCTTTAGTAATAATAATAATAATAATGTTAATCGCGTCCAATTTGAATAATTAAAATTTACATACATATATATATATGTTTTTTACGACACGCAAGAGATGCGTGTCACGCACGCACGCACACACGCACACCTACACACACTTAAATTTTTTTTGAATATTTTTTATTTTAGATAAAAAAAAAAAAAAAAAAAAAAAAATTTCATTAACATGCTATTCAATTTATTCCGATCATTTTAACCGATAGAAAAAAAAGTAAAAATAAAAAATAATAATAATGATAATGATAAAAAACAATGATAATAATAATAATAGTAGTAGTAATTACAATACAAATCACAAGGCACCATATAAAAACGGTTATTCCTGTTTCGTCTCATCTTCTAAAATTGACATTTTTTTTTTTCAAATAGTAAATAATTTTTAATTATTATTATTATTATTTCTTTTTATTTAAATATATATTTGAACGCGCTCTTAAATCGAAGACATAAACATTTGATTTTAAAAAGAAAAATCTAAAAGAAAACCAAAAAAAAAAAAAAAAAAAAAAAAAAAGAAAAACCAAAAGAAAAACAAAAATTCAACGAATTCGTCACGTGAATTAATGATTGCATTTTCTTTTCTTTTTTTTTTTTTTTTGTACTAAAAAAATTCAAACAAAATTCAAAAGGGAACCAAAATAATAATAAAAAAAAAAAACAATTTGTTTTTAACATCGACTTACATATATATATTTATGTACACGCGCACCCACGCACACACGCACACATTTGATAATCAATTGATTTGTAAACATGCGAAATTCATTTCAAAAATGAAAAGTCAGAGAAAAAGGAATTTTTTATAATTTATTTTATTTAAAAATTTTCTGCTTAAACCTCGCCACGCCCCCTCCACCTCCTCCTACTTCTCCTCACCACGCCCCTCCTCCTCCTACTCGCCACTCCCCTTCCCTCCCCCCAGTAAGCTTTTCCGTAGTCATTTAAAAAAAAAAAAAATTAATAAAATAAAAAGATATCTTATTGACTAGAATTTGTTAATAAAACTTTTCTTACAACACCTATTTTAATTATGTTTCATTATTATTATTATTATTATTATTATCGCTATTATTATTTAAAAAATTAATATGGCCTGTTTTAAATATTTAAATACACATTTATTATTATTATTAATATTATTATTATTATTATTATTATTATTATTATTATTATTAATTGAAAACAATCGATAAAGACGTAGGTAGATAGATAAATGCATGATAGTAAAACATTTATTTCATTTTTTTTTATTATTATTACTTAAAAAAAAAAAAATCCTTTTTCTCGTTGTTTCCCCGTCCCGTCCCCTCCCTCCCCACCTTCCATTTGACGATACAAAATTAAAATTCTGTCGTTTAATTAAAAAAAAAAAAAAAAATTATTCACTCGTAAAATTCTTTTTGTTTTTCATTTTATTCATTCGAAAAAGAGTTTGAATTTTTTTTTTTTTTTTTAAAGTAGAAAATAATAATAATAATAATAATAATAATAATAATAAAATATTGGTAACATTTAAAGCGTTCGTTTCATCAACTAATTCAAATAATAAAAAAAAAAAAAAAACGTTTTATTAAAATTATTATTATTATTATTTTTCATTTAAAAAAAAAAAAAAAAAAAAATGTGAAAAAAAAAACAACAGGAAAAAAAAAAAATTCCTATTAAAATTGTTTTTTTTTCCCCCCCCCTTTCCCCCTTTTTACAAACTCTTTTTCCCATTGAAAACATACAAAACACCCACCCCCCCCCCCCCCCCCATACCCCCCCCCGGACGTGAAAACGGTTTAAAAAGTCCTTTTGTCAACCCCCCTACAATTTTTTTTTTTTTCCCCCCCCTTTTTTAACAAAACCCGGGGGGGTTTGTATATCAAAGTCAGGATGATGATAATGATGATGATGATGATAATATATAAGGACGATTTTAAAAAGGCTTAGCATATAACGGATTATTCAATGAATAATAATAATAATAATAATAATAATAATAATAATAATAATAATAATAATAATAATAATAATAATAATAATTAATAACATCTAACGATAATGTTTTAAATTAAATAAGTATGGCAAAAAGTCTTTTTTTTTTCTTTTTCTTTTTCCTTTTTCCTTTTTCCTTTTTCTTTTCCTCTTCTTCTCTCTCTTTTTTTTTCCTTCTTTCGAAACGAAACGCGTACGTACCAATCAAAATTCGTTTTAAATGTGTGTGTGCACTTTTTCTTTTTTTTTAAAAATAATTATTGTGGCAACGACAACAACAACTTTTTTATAGATTTCATTCTCGAATTTGTTTTCTTTAAACGTTTAGGTGATGGCTAACTGTTCGTCGAAGCTGCTATTGAAACAACTGCCAATAATAATAATAATAATGATAGTCGTTCAATTTAACTCTTGATAAAACCTTTCGCGGTCATTTTACACATTAAAAATTATTATTATTATTATTATTAATGGTACTTACCCGGATTTGAAGCTGGATTTGGCTCGTTTCGAGACGGTAACGGACTGGGAAGTGCACTCGGAGTCGAATTACCCTGCGCCATAACTTTTTGTCGAACTTCTCGAATTTTCAATTGCAGGCTGGATTTCGTTGGAAAAACGTCAGCGTGTAAAGACTGTCGAAAAGGAAAATCCCATTATATAAATATTTTCTCTTTTTTTTTTTTGTAATATTTATGCGGAAAGGAAACGTACCTGAAACGCAGACGTTGATTGAGTCGATGGAAAATAACCCTGCTCTTGAAATAATTGCATGACTAATTGACGACGCTGTTCCAGAATTCGACGGTGACCTTTTTCCCCATCCCGAGCAGTTCCCGGAGTTTTAGGAGTTCTCGGGGAATTCCCGTCACCTTCGCTCGGATCGTTTCTAAAAGCTTCCAAATTGAAATCGGGTGGAAAAAATGTGTTGCCAACGAGTTTCGTTGATTTCGGCGTTGATCCGACCGTGTTTTCACCGTCGCCATCATCTTCCGTACCTGAATCGTATTTAATAATAATAATAATAATAATGCTTTTGAAAATGAACGATTCTATCGTACGAATAAATTTTTATATATATTACTCGATAGTCTGTGTTGCGGTTTTTTCCTATAATTTTGAGTGTAGACTCGAGGACTCGAGGAAACGGAAATAGCCGTCGGACTTTGACATTCCTCGGGTTTGAATTCCGGTAAAGATGAAAATTTCTTTTCGAAATTCACCGTTTCTAAAACTCTATCCATTCCGTCTTCGACATTTTTTTTAAAAAAACTCTTTTTTCCGGTCACGGATCCCGGAGTATCAGGTACTTCGCAGTCTTCTTTTTCCTCCACGGCCATGGATGAATCAGAATTGATATGAGAGGATTCTTTACATGACGTGGAACCTGAATTCGTAACTGTCGCAGCTGTAAATACATTTTATTATTATTATTATTATTATTATTCCTCCGATTAAAATTAATAATATATATATTATTTAATATAAAAATGTTTTCGCCACCTTGAGATTGCCTTCTTTGAAGTGGAGCTTTACCCAATTGAGCAGGGGTCGGAGCAAGAATGAAAGCCTGATTTTGATTTTCACTCTCATCCGTCGGGATGTTATTATTCTCCGACGGTCCTTGATTAGAATCTTCTTCTCCTCCTGATTCCTGTTTGACACGCAAATATTGAGTTGTTATCTGAGCAGAATAGGAAATGACGTTATTTTTGTAAAAAAAAAATTCACTCGATGATAATAATAATAATTATTGTTGTTTTTATAGTGATACTAACGGGCTGATTAGACGAAATGTAAATATGTTTTTCTTCTTTATCATCTTCGAGTCCATTTGAAATTTGAGTTTCGTTGATGGTATAAAAACTACTAGTTTTAGAAGGTGCGGTGGGTTGATTTCCGGCAGGAGTTAAACTGTGAATGAAAACAGCAAAAAAAAAATTCATTTAATGAAATTAACCCTTTTTTTTTTTTACTTTTTCATTTTCAATAAACTCGTACCTTATTTTAGATGATTGAGGTACGTGGGAAACCGTTTGAGCTTTCGTTACGATAACAGTGGAAGTCAGCGGTGGCTCCATGTTTGATTTCGAAGTTACTATTTGAAAACCTGTTGGTTGAATTCCTATATTACGACCGTTTCCGTCTGCAATAGCCTCGTCATTCAGTTTTTTTTTTTTTTACTTTCATTTAAAACACAAAAAAAAAAAAAATTTTTACTTACCCGATATAGGAATGTGAAAACCGGTTGATTGAATATAAAGATTTTGAAGGTGAGTGCCACTTTGTAGAGGAACAATGCATTGCACTTGCTGCAAAAAAATAATTTATAATTTAATTTTTCTGTAAATAGATTTTGACTAAAGCCGTTAGCTCCACTTTGTCTAAATAATTTACCTGAGGAGACAAAGGCACTGTTGTTTTTAAGAAACCAGGACTTGTTATGGATTCCGACTTTATGATTTTTGGCGACATCGGCATCGTTTTAAATGCACCACCAGTGGGTTGAAATCCCGATACGCCGGTAGGGTTTACCGGAGAATGATAAGGATATGACAATACGGAAACCGGTTTGTCACCCGGACTCTGATGAAATTTGCTGCTTTGTTCTATTCCCGTAGAAGGCAATCTAAAAAAAAAAAAAATTTTTTTTTTTTTCGTCTTTTAATATGATTCATTTTTAACGTGATATTTTCCATACCAATATGAACAATTTAAACGTACCGGGCTTTGATGGGTTTAGGTCGACACGTGACTTCACCAGAATTATTACTTTTTATTTGTGAAACTGGGCTAAACCTTTGCTGTGGAAAAGCTTTATTTTCTACCAAAGGCTCCATATCACTCTGAGACTCAGAATCAGAATCTGTAACTTTTTCCTTACATTTGAGATCAATTTCAACAGGAGGATCTTCTTCGCAAATCACCATTTTTTTGGTCTGAAAAATACACGCAATTAATTTTTTCTTGTACAAAATGGCTACTGATTCATTTAATTAAAAAAAAACTTTACTCACCATATGTTCATCATCAGAAAACACGTCATCTTTTCTATCTGTTTGATTCTCTTCCTTAGGTTCATTTTTAACTTCTAATTGTGCATTCGATCCTTCTGAATTCTATAAAAATAAATTTTGATAATTTAACATTTAATTGTAAATAAAAATAAAAAAAATTTTTTTAAATTGATACACTTAAGGTAAAATAAGTATTTTACCTCTTCTTTTGATGTAGAAAAGCCATTTGATTGCATTTGTTCATTACTTTGATTTTCTTCCGCGTTAAAACCATCGATTCCTTCATCGCTCGATCCCAATTTACTTCTTCCTTCTTTAACAGAACTTGTAGATGATTTTCGACGATCCTTACTGCACCACTTCCATTCGGGATGAGCTTTGAAATGTGCTTCTTTCACCTATCGAGGAAAAATTTTTAATAAATTATTAATTGGATTTAAGAAATAAAATAATATAAATATTTTCGATAAAAATTTATAAAAGAGGAATAATGTACCTCAGTCGCAAGCTCGTGATATTTTTGTTTTTCTTCAGAACCTAATGCGTACCACCATTCACCAAGTATTTTAGAAACAGTTCTATTGTCTTGATTAGGGTGTCGTTGATGAACCAAAGCCCGATGCCTTTTGCTGAATATCATAAACGCGTTCATTGGCCTTCGTATACGATCTCGACTAGAACCCTTTTGGTTGTTCGGAAGATCTTTACCGTGTAAAGAGCTAAGCGATTGACTTCTTCTTTTTCCATTTGTGTTTTCGTAGCCAACTTCGACGGTTTCCGGTTCGAAAACATCATCGTCTTCTTCGGCGGCAAAAACTTCACCGTCGACGCCGTCAAATTCATCAGTCGGTTTAAAATCTGGAGGTGCAGAGAGAGGAGGACTCAGGGTAGAGGATGGAGGAGATACGGCAGGAAGGAGAGGGAGTAGAGTTTGCCAGGGATACACTGCAGAAAGTTGTTGAGAAGTGTTCACTGTTAAAACACTTCCATTTTTTATTTCTTTTTGGTCATTTTGCTGTTGAGAAATTGGTAATACCGGAAGGAGTTGCGTAGGATGCACAATTACTGGTTGTATTAAATTGCTGGCTTGTAAAACGGTGGTAGTATTTGTCGAATTTTGTATCGAACTTTTTATGTTGTTTGTTTTGGATGTTTCTGCACGGACGTTATCGATTTGATTTGGAGACACCTGAACACCAATTTTATTACCCTATAACACGAATTTAAAAAATTTAATAATATAATAACGATAATTAATAATAATTCAAGTATGATGTAATTCACCTGTTGGACACCCGCTTTATCAACAACTACCGAAGTCGTCGAAGCATTTGAATTAGGCACACGATGATTAACCATAATTGTAGGAAATTTATTATCTTCACTCTTAATAACTAATAATTTTTTCTCTGGATGAAAACCAGTTTGCTGGGGAAACAAATATAAGGTTCCCCTATCACTTTTAGGTACCATAACAGCGAGATTTGTTTGAGATTGAGTTCTAATTATTTTTGGTTCAGCTTCTTGCACTGGCATCGGTTTAATGTCAATCGAATTATTACTATTATTTGCACTTGTCAACGCCTGCGAAAATAATAATAATTAATATAAAAAATTAAAATCTTTTCCTTTAATTTTTTTTGCTGGAAAAAGTATTTTGTTGTTTTGTAAAAAAATTGAGAAAGGTAAACAATAAATATATTACCTTTTGAAGTATAATGCCTTGCTGTTGATGGGAACCCGATGACATGACAGTAGTTCGCGAGCAATTGTTTTGAGGGGATGTAACACTAGGACTATCGATTCTCCAAGTAACCCGTTGAGTCGTAGAACTGGGCGCAACAGTTCGAGACGGACTAGGAGAGATTCTTATTACACTAGTTGCCATGCCAGTTGGATGTGGATTAGGTGATGGCTGGCTCATTACAACTTGGCCTGGCCTAACTAACTCTGGCCTATATTAAAAACGAGAAAAAAAAATTAATAAAAAACAAATTTTTTTGCCGTAAGTTGGTAAGATCTATGTTTAAACTTTACCTGATAACATTTTGACAGGTGCTTCCAACAAAATGTTGAGATGGCAAGGGAGATGTCTGAGTTTTCCATTTGGTATGATTCGGAGATACAAGACTATTAGATCTGGTTATCATACCAGAGCTAGATTGAGAAGCTGGACTTGTAATCGGCATGAATACATTTTGACGGGGAGAAGGTGAAGATACCTGGTTCGTTGGAGAAAACGCTGGAGTAGCAGAGCGAGAAGATCCAAGAGAGACTAAAAAAAAAATTTAAATTTAAGAAATGAAAAAAAATAATAATAAATTAAAAATTTACAATGGAGTTAAAGTCATCTCATTAACCTAGCATATTAGCAACTTCAGTTTCGTCTTGAGTAATCATTCGACTATAATTAGGTGAAGTATCAGAATCCCTGGACGTTTCTTCTCCATCCATACTTCCCATACCCTTACTACGAGGAATATTTGCAGGACCAGTACGTAAACTATTTCCCTTTAAACTTAAATGCCTAGAACAATATCCACGTCTTTGAGACTCTTTTGTGCAACCGTCTTTTGAGCATAGTCTTCTCCATTGTTTCCCATTAAATTTTTTTCGTATGCCACTAGGAGTAGATACCACATCACCTTTTTTGTATTTGTGAGGAGTTGCGGCTTGAGATCTGAAAAACAAATATAAAATTTTAATAATACTACCCAATAATTTTATTAAAGGATTATACTTAAAGGAAAAAATAAAAATACCTGGGAGTTGTGGCAGAAGAACGCGGTGTTGTACTGCGAGGCTCTATCAAACTTGAGGTGCTTCCACGACTTTGCATACTACTTCGCTTACTGCTTCCTGATAGCTTTCCATCTGATTTTTCATTTAAAATGAAAAAAAAAAAAAAATTAAGTTTACAATTTATGTAACAACAGAATAATGTATATTCAAATGTTTCGTTCTAACAGTATCAAGCATAAGATTTTACCACGTACCCGCGTCAGAAGTGAATAGAATATCTTCTCTTCTCAATTCGTCATCGCTTTCACAGGAATCATCATATTGGCGGCGTCTGAGATCTTCATTACTGCAATTTGATAATGCTGTACTATTTGAATGAAGACTGATCGGCGTAGTTATTTGATGTAGAGGAGATGTTGCGGCTGAACGAAAACAACCAGCATCGTTTGATTGCAACGTGGGCACTACGTGATGAATTTGTAAAGGTGTGCTGGTTTGTTGAAACCGACCGTTCATATTAAGGGGAGAAACAACGGGAGGTCCTAAGCCTTCGAGTTCGTCAAACCAAGGAGGTTGTACAAGTCTGAGATCTGCACGTTTCACAATGTGCTCTTCATTTGGATTACTATAAATTTTAACTACAAACTGTACAGGAGAAGTTAATATATTACACACATAACCTTCAACGAATATCGTATGAGGATCCGAATTGTTTGCTGCAACGCGAACGCACACACGATTGCCTAGAGCAACTTGGCCAACAGATGGACTTGCATCGCTTATAACATCAAATTTACCACGACCAAGAACATCTGTGAACATAATTATTTCATTTTCACAATAATCAAATTTGACCCATATGTCTCCGGAGCTTTCAGCTTTTTTTATAACACCGGGAAGATATACTTTATCCCTTTTTGCCAAAACTCTATGGCCGCACCATTCACTTAAATTAATACTGTCATTTCTGGGCACTGATATTATTCGCCTTTGAGGAATTTCTTCTATCCTCAACTGTAGGTCTTCGGTTTTGTTTTCAGTCTGGGATCTTTGGCTTGCCACGCTCATCTTTATGCATCGAGAATAATCAACGGCGGCGGATTGAGGAGGCATCACAACACCTTGAGATCTCAAAACATTTTGGGTGAGATCTTGCGGCTCGAAATTTAATTCATTTCTACCCTGCACCGAATTTACCATTGAAGTCGTTTCCATTTCTTCGAGCTCAGAGGGGTCAAATTTACGTTTTTTGGGTAACTTTTTTGCGGTAATGATGGGCGATTCATCTTTTCTACTAACTTCATTTCCATTTTGCTGTCGTGAGCTATTGTATCCGGCGGCAAAACCGGATTTGTGGGAGCCAGTTTCTGTCATTTCCGCAGACACTCTCACTTCTTTGGTAATTTGTACATTTCCTTCAGACATTTTTAACTATAACTAAACCTAGGATTTTTATGTAGAGAAAGACTTCATTTACGTCGCCGACGTCGATGGATGTTGTCAACGAATCATCACAGACCTATGACAAAAAAAAAAAAAAAAATCAATCAATCTTTTTTTCTTTAAATAAAATTTTTTTTTTTTTTTTGGTTTTATAAAACTTAACACTTGTATACATTTAAGTATATATATATTTTAATTATAGTGTAACAAGTTTTTGGACATGTTTTTTTTTTTTTTTTTTTTTTTTTTATACAAAATTTAAATCAAATACATAATTTAAAAATCACATTTCTCATTTACCAGCACCTGTTGCGTGGTTAGGAGCTCAACCGTGAATTGCAATACAGGAAAATGGTCCAAGGACAAGAAAATTTCAACTATAGTCCACCTAATATATTAAATTAATTTAAAAGTACTGGATTAATTTAAAAAATAAAATATTTAGTTACAAGAAAAAGAACTGTTATGAACATTTTAGTAAACAAAATATTATTCATTCTAAATTATTTAATTATTTATTTTCATATGAAAATAATTATTCTTTAGCGACCATAACAAAAAAATCTCCATACATACATATATGTATATACATTTTTAAATAAAAATCTAAATGGAATAAGGAACGAATTTTTTTTAATTGCAATCTATCTCATTTATTTAAAAAAAAAAAAAAAAAAAAACTTAACAAAATATTCGTAGGCAGAAAGCAAGGTCACGGTCAAATTAATGTTTACAAAACGTATACTATTACACAAAAGTCTAGCTTTGCAGAAGTGTTTCATTGCGTGTGCTACACACACAAATGGTTGTAGGTGTTCACGACGACGATATATTTAATGCAAATTTAGCACAAATCCATATTACGAAAAAAAAAAAAAAAAAAAAAAAAATGCCTACCCATTTTCTTCTGTTGCATTTTAATTGCAACAAATTAACAAAAAAAAAAAAAAAAACCAATAAATAAATTTAAATTTGTGCATGCATTGCTTCTTAAAAAATTAACTTATGCAAAATAATATAATTAAATTCATTTTTAAAACTTAACTTCAAAAAACTTCTCACAACATTTAAATCTAATATTTTTTTAACAGAAAATAATTAATTTATAAAAAAAAAACAAAAAAATTCATTTTACTACTTTATTCGATTATCTTTGAAACCGAATAATAATCACACATTTCAATACAACAATAAATAAATTACTTTTTCTTTTTTTTTCTTTTCGAATAATTATTAAAATTGACATTTTTTTTTTTTTAATTATTTATTTATATATATATATATATATATATATATTTTACATTGAAATAAAGAGACATCAGACAACAAGTATGCTAACATTGAAATGATATTCTAATGAAAATTAAAAAGCAAGGTTATTCACTATGGTTGTCACTGGTTTAGCGTTAAAAAAATTGATACAACATAATCAATAATAATAATAATAATAATAATAATTTTTTTTTATAAATATTCTTTTTAACATTCAATAATCTATATAAACTGTGTATGAAGATATAAAACAACTCAAATTATAAGTTAAATGAATTCAATTCGAGAGAGAGAAAAACATAAACTCTTAAAAGAGGCCTAAACATTTGAATACTTATACTAGCATGAATATTAATCGATTTAATTTAATTTAAAGAGTTGCAATTAGAATATTAAAAAAAAAGAGAAAACAAAAATCACACTTTTTACAAATTAATAATAATAAAAAAAAGTGCAATGTACTATTTAAATATTAAAATAAAATTTAAAATGAAAAATAAACATGAGCATTGTAAAAAAAAAAACTTTAACTTAATAAATGCAATTTAAATTTCTATATATGAAATCAAATCGATTTTGATAAAACCGAATCACAGTTCATATTTATTTAAAAAAATTTTTTATTTAAAACCATTTAAAGCATATTATTAAATTAATTATTTTGATTATGAGAAGAGAAAAATAAAATTATTTTTAATAAATAACACTTACCATCATTTTTTAAAATTAAACGACAAAAAAAATTTTGTTTTTCGATAAGTAATAATTTGAAATTTTCATTTCGCACTCGCATGGTTTAATATTAATTAATTGCAATAGTAAAAATGAATATAATGAATCACTTTTTTTTTTTTTTTTTTTTTTTTTTTTTGTATATTTTACATTTCCTACAACTGAAAAAATAGTCTTTGTTTTCCAATAGTCAGTTCATTTTACATAACCATCATGTATCATTGTTATTTTAAATCTATATGTCAAAGGATTTAATTAATTTTTATTGTACACACATTCAATCAAAAATAAAAAAAAAATTTTTTTTCCGTGCAAATTATGAATAAATTTTGCATTAAAAAAAAAAAATTTTTTTTTTGCATACACGTCTTTATTTTTCCCCCTGTCAATGATTTGTAAAAAAAAAAAAAAAAAAAAAAAAATTTAATTATTTAAAAAATAAAAAATAAAATAAATATGTGTACGGGAAAAAAAAAAAAAACCTTTCTTCGTTTAATATGTCAAATAATATAAAAACAAAAGCCTTTTTTTCAATTATACTGGTTCACGGTTAGCATCCTAGCTAGCATTAAAATAAAATAAAAAAAAAAAACAAAGGATTTAAATAAAAACGTTTTAATAAAATTTCTTATTTAAATATTATTATTATTACGGCAAATGTATTTAGCTGAATATAATTGTATAAACCGGAAAAATTATTTGGATTTTACTAGTGACCTCGGAGGGGCATATTAGGCAGTCACACACGAATCGTAGTAATTTCTTCCCCACTTGACAAAAAAAAAAAAAAAAAAAAAAAACTGGAATGACCGTAAATAATTTCATTCCGCTTATATTTAATGTAGAAAAATACAAAAATTATACATGTGAAAAAAGAAATTTAACATTTAAATAATAAATTTTGATTATATACAATTTAATCCCAGGTACTCACCTTTAAAATTTTCATTTTATTCCACGAATATTGACATATCACTAAACACCCACAACCATAACATTTCCCCTTCCAAGTCCCAAGACGATTTTGAATGGGATCGAAATGAAACTCTTTTCATTGGTCGAAAACAAAATTCTAGTGAAACAATGCAATTCATTGGTTTTTTTAAATAAAATTTTTTACACGATTATAAAACAAATTAATCAAATAATTATTTATGTAAATACATTTTATTTTTTTACAAATAAAATAAAACATAATAAAACGTTTAATTGAACTCTTGATTTTTTACCACCGAGAGCCGTCACGTAAAAGAACAAAAACAAATTAATGCCATGTTTGTAAGAAAAGTTGCTGATTTGACTAGTCGTAGTTGCCGAGCAATTATTAACTTGGCGGGAAAAATAAATTTTTTAAAAAACGTATACGTTTAAAACATATTAAAATAATGATAATAATAAATAAAAAAAGAAATTTTTTAATGGAAATAATTCTAAGGAATAAAAATAAATAAAATTTATTTATTTATTTATTTATCAAAATAATTTTTATTTAAAAAAAAAAAAAAAAAAGATTATGATTCTAATAATAATAAAAGCAATTAAAAGTGCAAATTAATTAAAATTTTTTTTTTTTACATATTGCTCTGCAAATACAAATTCGTTTTTATTATTATTATTATTAAAATAATAATAATAATAATAATAATAATAATAATAATTAATAAAAAAAGAAAAAAGAAAACCACTTATGTACAAATTTATGAACAATTAATATAAATTAAATCTCTATTTAAAAGTAATTAATTAAATTTTAACGTGCTATTTTTATTTTTAAATTTATTATTATTATTATTATTATTATTATTTATGTACAACAATTATTATTATTAATATTTAAATAATTATTTATAATAAATAAAAATCACATTTTTTAGGGCACTTTTTTCATAGTTTTTTAAATAACGCCCCAAATTTTTTTTAAATTTTATTTTTTTCAATAATCATCATCAGTCTTATCAATAAATAATTAATAATATTATTATTAATAATTTTAATAAAAATCTAAGGTGAATAATAATCAATTTATTTATATTTACACGGACTAGATAGAATTATATATATATATATTGTAAATTTTTTTTTTTTTTTTTTCAATAAAAACAAAAAAAATTTTTACAATAAATTATTATAATACAGATTTAATAGTTTCCATTATTATTATTATTTATTTTTTATTTACATATTTATGCATAAAATTTTTATGAGACGTTTTTCATTTAAAAAAAAAAAAAAAAAATTATCACAGAAAATAGTACAGAGAATAATAATAATTATTATTATTTTTTATTTAAATGCGATGTTTGAGAAAAAACTTTTTTTTATTTTATTATCAAAAAATTTCATATATCAATCAACACGTTATTATTATTATTATTATTATTATTATTATTATTATTATTATTATTATTATAATAAAAAAATATTCAATAGAGTAAATTATATTATAAATATACAAAAATATTATTGGCAAAAACTTTTTTTTTAAATAAATTTTGTTCAATTAAAATTAACATTTTATAATTGAAAAACTTAAACATGAAATAAACATTATGTATATATATTTACTATCATTATTATTATTATTATTAAATTTATTATCAATGGAAATTGGAACAGAAATTTACGGTTATTTACGTTTTTATTATTATCATTATTATTAATAATAGTAAAAATTTCATTGTGATTTATATACTTTGAAATAAATAATAATTTATTTAAAATTTTTTTTCTGTAGTTAAATAAAATTAGCCCACAAATATTATTATTATTATTATTATTATTATTATTATTATTATTATTATGAATTTTAAAAATGAAAAAAATATAAAAATAAATTTATTTAAAGTTTGGATAAAAAATAATAATAATAATAATAAAAACTATTTTAATAATAAAAATGACCGAAAAAAAAATTTTAAAAATTTATTTATTATTATTATTATTATACGATTATTAATTTATTAATTTATAAATATTTATATATATATACAATTAATTAATTTGTAATAAAACTTTTATTTTAAAATTTTAAAAACTTCAAATTTTTTTTTTTTATTTATTTAATTTATATATAAATATTTTTAAAATAAATTAAACCTCAAAATTTAACATAAAAATTTTATGATGTAAAAAAAAATTATTAATATTATTTCCCCCTCCCCCTCCCCGCCCCCAAAATATTTTAACATATATCGATTTAAAACAAAAAAAATTTTTGATGAATATGGCTTTAAAAAAATTATTATTATTATTTAATTTAAATAAATAAAAATCGATTATTAATTGATTACATAAAATAAGTACACACAATAAATAATACGGCAATTATTTAATTATTTCAAAATAAACCTAATTTATTTTTTTTAAATAAAATAAAACAAACAAATTCACACGCGCACACCCACACGCCCACACGAATTTATCGGCAAGAAAAAACAAATTAATTAACGGGAAAAAGAAAAAAAAAAATTAAAATTTTATGTAAGCCTGAATTAATAATTTATATTATTTAAAAATGGCGCCACGTTTTATAACGGCCGCAAGATTAAAAAAATTCCCCTCGCGATTTTTTTTTATATCACAATATCTGCATATATATATATATATAATCTATTTATATTTTGTTTGATTATTATTATTATTATAATACAATTTACAATTTACAATATATATCCATCTTCTTTTTATGTACATAAATTTACATATTGAAAGTATCGCAGATACTAAAAAAAAAAAAAAAAAAAAAAAAAAAAAAATTATTTTATTTGGTTCAGTGATAAGACGTTCATTTCAAATAAATATATTTTAATAATATTTTTTAATTTTAAACAAGAAAAACAATTTTTTTTTTTTTTTTTATAAACGTCACAAACTGTACAAAAAAAAATTTATCTTAATACATTAACCATATTTATATTTACTATTATTATTATTATTATTTTACATATAATTTTTTCTCAAACAAATTTACAATATATATATATATATATATATATATATATATATATATATATATATATATATATATATATATATATAGAAATTTCATTACAACCGTACATATATATATTTTTTTTTTCTTAACGAATCATCATTTTAAATACTACTTTTCCGCCATTTTCTTTTCTATTTATTTGTTAACAATTATTTTTTTCCATTTTTTTAAAAATAAAAACCAACCATTAAAAGTACGTACTATTTTTACAATTAATATAATTTCACGTCACCCTATGTTGCCAATTCATTGCAACAACAATTTGAAGGAAAAACAATTATGTACATAAAAATTATTTTTTATGTAAATAAGTTAATAAGTGTCAATGTGTGCTAATGGTTATACAGTCACAACACACGAGAACATTCTTATCGAAAAGGACGGTTCCTTGGTCATCACCCAAAGCGTGTAACAAAATGCAAAAAAAAAAAAAAAAAAAAAAAAAAAACTCTTCAGTTAAATTAATTTAAATATTTTTTACATTTCTTCGACAAACAATGGCAGGATATTTTTTCATCTTCGAACGGAAATTTATAATCGTACGTTAATTCCTCCATGATGTTTATCTTCCGCAGTGCAAATATAACGATGTGTTTCTTACCCAAAATATCGACGACCCGCGAATAACAATTCGGCTGTGAAAAAGAGCAATGACAAAAAAAAAAGGGAAAAATTATTATTATTATTATTTTTTTTTTTTTTCCAGGATGACGTCATTAATAAAACCAATTCGTTTACCTCGCAAGAATGATTGATAAATCTCGCCGCGTTTCCTTTCATTGTAGCATCCACGACGAAATGATCGTCGATTCTAAACATGTAACAACCGATTCCTTTTTCCGTGTAATATTTTTCTCTCTTATCACTCAAATTCGCTCTTATCACTTCTCCCGCGTACTCGATGACCATTTCTCCAGCTTCGATTTCTCTCAAGCAAAACAATCCGCGGCCGTGTATTTGCGACCTGTAAACCCCCACGTAAAGTTTCGACGTTTCTTTCAGGTTTCGATATTTCATCGCCATGGGTAAGTTATTCGCTCTCCTGAAATTCAAATAATTTTTTTAAAAATAAAATTATCATTTCTCAAAAATTAAATTAACGAAAATGACATTTTATAATTACCTGATCGAACACAAAGTTTCTTCGGCCGACTCGGTTAGTTTGGGTAATTTTCTATGTTTCGACGCCAACCAGGCAAACATGTCGTATTCTTTTCGATTGGTGAATTTTTCCGTTCTCGCACATCCCGAAGGATTTTCTTTCACTTCGTCTTCTGAATCTCTTCGCGAGTCATCCCTCGTAAAATATTTGAATTTATAATTGACGCAATTTTCAACTCCTTTAAGTTGTTCGAGACAATGTTGAAGACCGTGATTTTGCATTCCTAGTATTTCGTAGTCTTTTTTAGTCAGAGGCAACGATGGGATTTTTAACATGGCTCTCATTTCTTGAACCGAGTCGCAAATGTTCGCCCAGAGTTCCGCCATCGAAGACGATGATTTTTTGAATCCGTCGTCGGAAATGACGTCGAATATTAATTTCGGACCTTTTTCTTCGATCGATTTCTTCGAAAAGGAAATATTCTCGTCGGCCACGACTTCAGACGCGTCCTTATCCGGTGGTGACTCAAATTTATCATTTATTCCAAGACTTTTCGAATCGAACGAGTTTTGATCGAGAAAATTTATTTTCCTTTTTATTTTATAATTTTCCTCTTGTTTTAAAAATAAATTTTCACCGTCTTTCGAATGACCTTTGGGAGAAGATTTTACATTATTATTTTTAGGACTTATGTTGATTTTTTGGCAATTCTCTTGCAAAGGCAAAACGTGATTGGTATTGTTGTCTTGTTTCGGGTATTCGTCTTTCACGGGCCTTGAATCTTCGTGCATCGAAATTTCGATATTTTTCGAATCTGGCACAGTCGAACCATCCTCCTTTTCTTGCATTTCAAAATTCGATGGAGGTAAATTTTGAAAAATTTTCACTCCGGCACAAGGCGATTTTTCAGTTTCTTCAGAAGTCGATATTAAAGAAGATTCACGCCTCGGGCAGCTCTCTTCAGTTTTCGTACAAGATGTAATTTTTTCATTTTTTATTTTGAAATTTTTCACAGAAGGTATTGGCTCATTCGCCGCTAAAGGTTTTGCAGGTAGAATAATTTTTTCGGATTTCAACGATGCAGGTGATTGAATTTCTGCTTTTGTTACTAATAATTCAGACGATGCACTTTTCGGTATTTTCAAATTATTTGTTGACTTCACTTCCGTTTTGCAAGAAGGATTTACCAATTCCGTAGAAAGACTTGAAGATTTATGAAAGTTATTTTGATTTTGCATAACCTTCTGCTGTGTCGAAATACAAGTATTTAAATTAATTGATTTATTGGAGGAATTCAAATTGTACGATTGCGATGAGGATTTATCGCAAATATTATTTTTAGTCTTATTCTGAACTTGAGCACTTTTCAAAAGTGTTTCATTTGCTTCTGATCTGAAATTGTTAATGTAATCAACCAAAGCTCGAGATCTTGATTGTATTTGCGATTGGGGATTGGATTTTAATGGTATAGCAGGTTTTTCAGGAATTTTCACTGGGAGTTTTGTCATTTGTGAACTGGAAAATCCGTTCAATTGTTGAGGTTTGATTGTCGGGACAGATTTTGATGTGACAACAGGATTTACAATTGTTGGAGTAGAGGCAGGAGTTTTTTGCAAAACCTGCGGCACCGTAGAATTAACTACGTTATTATTTAAACCGTTTGAAACTTTTCCCAAAATAATTGGCGGACAAACGGGTTGCAGGCAACGAAACGAATTATTTTGAATAGGTAATGTTTTCGGATCAAAATTTAGAATTTGTGCGGTGGGTATGGAAGGATTGAATATTTGACTAGGTTGTACCGTTTGATTCGAACTTCCCAATTGGATGGGAGTTTGATTTTGTATAAAAGTAGGCTGGGTTTGAACGCATAGTAAATCATTACTGGGAAACAATCGATTGGCACCGGCATGATTGGAATTAACTAAAATGTAATTCGATGGCACGTTCACTATTTGCTCCATTTCACTTGCTTGAAATATTTGCGTTGAAGTTTGCGAAAACGTTGTACCCAAAACGTTCGAAACAAACTGATTGGTTTGCATTACGGTATTGCTGACAATGGTTTCCATGTTGTAAAAAACTGGAGCGTTGCGACTCGTTAAAAACATGCCTCCGGTTCGTGGATCTTGAAAAACGTTGTAAGAATCAGTTGATCCGACCATGAGTTGTTCATTGGAGAGTATAACAGGACTATTTTGCGAAGACAACACGGGACCTTGTATATTTGGTTGCTGTTGAATAATAAAACCCGGAAAATTATTTTGTACGTTTTGCGTATTCAAACATAATCCTCCCAAAACCTGAGATTCAGAAGGAGAAGGCACATGAAAATTTCCTGATATAACTCCTCCGGGAGTAGAAATCAATTGAGTTTTATTTAAAAAATGTTGAGATTCGATTCCTGCGAGGTATCCCAAAGTAGGAGTGGAATCGATGTAAGCCGTTGACATTAAATTCGAGCCGGTAACATCTTGAACGATCAATGCAGGGGCAGCAGCAGCTGATTGCTGTTGAAGTAAAATCTGTTGAACTTGTTGTTTATTGTTTACAGGTGAGTTTTTCTTCGTTGCAGTTGGTACCTTTCTTCTGGTGTAAGTTTTTTTAACTTTTTCTTTTTTGACTTCGGGTTTTTCAAAATTAATTGGATTTAAATGACTAGATATTTGTAATGAATCGTTAGCTAAATGTGAATTGTACGAAATGTTTTTTTTCGAATGTTCTTTGTTTGTTGTTTTGGCTGGAATCGCAAGTGCATTGATGTTATCGGATTTCTGTTTTAAAGAAATATTATTAAAATGTCTTTTAGGACTTTCTTCATCGCTCATTTCTGCCTCGCTTGATGATAGTATAAAATCACTAGTACAAGATTCCAAATGTCTTTGGTAACTTATTTTAGTGCGATAAGTACATCGGCACTTTCCGCATTTCACAGGCTCTTCTTCAACTTTAGCTACAAGCGGATAAACAGAGCCATCACTTAAATTGCAATTTTTAAAAGTTTCTTCTTCGCATTCTGAATCTACTCCTCCGTCGCACTGAACTATTTTATAATTTAAATCAAAAACATTTATTAAATCTCTCTTTCTCACCATTACCTTATTAAAATTTTGAATTTCTTTCAAACTGTACTTTTTACAATTTTGAATTTCAGAATCACTAACATCACTATTGCAATCCTCTACGCCATCCACTTGAGGTAAAATAAATGAATTCGAATCGGTATTTCCTTTGGAAAAAGAAACAGAAGACTTATTTGAATGATGTGAATTTTCCGAAGTTGAAAAATTTTGAAATTCAGGTACATTTGAACTTTTTATTGAATATAAAGGATCTAATATTTGAGAAGATGAATCTACGAGTTTTGAAGTAACACTTTCTTCGGTCATCCTTTGAGGAGATTCTCCAGCTTCGCTTCCGCTACTTGAAGAATCGACTCCGCCATCCACTTGAAGAAGTCTGGGTTGAAGACGCGTTTGCCACGCTAAAAACTTATTTTCTTTTCCTTCTTCTTGTATCGACCGCTTATTGTCTTCCAAACGTGATTTTAAATCCTTCATCGAACCGATGGCTCCAGTGGTGATGGAGACTAAACCGTCTGTAAATTTTAATTCTTGAAGCATGTTACCCCTTTCTTGAGGTTCTAAAAGGTTAACCGTGACGTGACATTTCGAATGTTTTTTCCACTTGTTATTAAAATTTTCACATTTGTAATTTCTATTTAAATTCGTAGATTTTTGATAAGTTTTTAATGTTGTAGATTTTTTGGAAGGAAGTAATAACGAGTCATCCGTTCTATTTCTTTTTACGTTACGTGATTTTGAAACTAATGAAGTTTCGCCGATAACCTCCAGTTTACAATCTATTGATTCCGTCCATATTGATTCATTTTGAATATTTTCATTTTTTTTGTGAATTTTATTTAAGGAATTAAATAAATTATCATCTCCTTCGTATAATTCTTCCGAATTCTCTTTAGAATTATATTCATAATTTTTAATGTCCATAAATATGTCCTGCATTGAAATGCCATCCAGGATATCATGAGGAAGATCTTTAAAAATGGCTTCTTCAACATCCGGCGGTAATAAATCTGCCGTATTTTGATTGTCCGACAAACAGTTTTCATCATCTTTGAAATCATATTGGTCTAATATTTTACGAACTACTTTTTGATTCTTTTTATCTTTTTTAGGCGAATTAGAATCCGAAATTTTTATTTTATCACACTTGGCTTTGAGTTCAACTAATTTACGTTTTTCACCAAGTTGATTTTCCACCAATTTCTCATTGATTTCTAAAAATGAATTATTTTCTTGAAAATATTTTAATTGTTTTAATTTTAATTCGACAAGTTCCGGGTCTTTCGAATGATCTACCGTTAAGTTAATTCCCGTGTCCACACCTTGAGTATTTTCTGCTTCCACGAGGCGGACGCTAAAATGATATCGAACGATTCGCCAAGGCTCGAAGCAAGACCAAAATAATCGGGTACAACTAAATTGATCCGGAATAATGGATTTCGTTTCATCTGATAATTTACCAGCAAATTTTCCCAAGTTATTAACGTGAAGTGAACCAACAACAAAGCGTATTTGGCAGCTATCAGCAGTTTTCATTTTTCTTTTGTCTAATTCGACGTAAACCGGTCTACGAATTTCAAATTCTTTTTCGTTTTGCACTAATTTATTATTTACATCCTTTAAATGTGCAAGACAATACATTGTTTTGTCATCCATAAAAGCACAACCCAGTTTTTTCGCACAACTAAAGTGATATGTCTCTTGACAGCTCCGTGCACAACAACCTATACTGGCACCCTTTAAATTGCATTCTGGACATTTTATAGACCGGCTTCTGCTGATAGCACTGTGAACATTTTGAAGAGATCCATCAATTTCTTCAAAAACTTCTCCGGACCATAAAGCACAATTACAATGAACCCATTCATTTTGACCACAATACAATAGTCTTCCAGTATGTCCGGGAAGTCCATCGCCTACAACCTTACACATCACGCAAATCCTTGTATCTTGTACGGTGTAGTCACTATAAAAGTAATCCAATGGTTGATCGTATAACTTATATTTGGGAATTTTACATTCTTCCTCGGGAATAATTTTTTTCGGAGTGCTTTTAACAGGAGTAGATTCAGCAGATTTTATGCTAGACACTTTTTGAGAACTATTTTGAACTTTAGAAAATTTGGGATCGAACCAAGGAAAAATTTCTCTGATTGTTTGATGATACAGATCCATGAGTTCAGTTGAGTGAGAGGTGGCAATCATTCTCTCCATATCCTGATGAAATTGATGAAGTGACGAGTACTCAGAAGTCGTAACTTTTTTCTTGATTGACATTAAATTCGGAGAAAAAGGTTTACTTCGACTATTATAACTTTCCACGTCTAAAAAACAAACGCATTCTCGTGTTCCTTCTAAAAGATTAACTGAAATATCACCGTTTGCTTTATTTGTTTCTAACGAAGACAGCTGAAAACAATTTTGATCATAAATTGATGATCTATCCTTTGCACTGTTGCCAGCATCAGAATCAAGAGTGTTCCCCGAATTTGAAGAATTAACTTTATTGTACTCGAAAGGAGAAATTTTCCTATTAACCGACTGAGAATTATCGGAAAATTTTTGATTAGCAATTAAGTTTTTTACTCTTTCTGAATTTTCTTGTAATTTCTCATCGTCAAAAATGTCTTTAACTGATTTATCTTTCGTCGTCGATTCTGTGATGTTTTCAGTTTCTGTATCACAATTTTTCATAATTTTCAACGTTAACTTTAAAGATTCCGTCGGATGATTTATAACTTCTATACTAGTTTTTCTTTCCGATAAAATAGCTGGTTGGTATTTTTCAATCATTTCTTTCTCTTCGTGAATTTTTTTCTTTTCATTTATTTCTTTTTCAGAATTAGATATTTCCTCCAACTCAACATCTAACATTTTTGAAGTTCTATTTAGGACATCTAAATCAAAGGCTCTGGAAGTATATTCTACAGGTCGACATGTGCACTGTTTTCGAGGGCTCCATTTTAGCATCGTACACGCTTTGCGATTTTTACTTAATGCTTTTAACACTCCTAAATAGCCACTTTTTAATTCTGCTTCCACGGCTATCCACCAAGGTGCCGGAGGCATTACACAACACATGCGACAAACATATTCTACTGATTCTGGTAAAAAACTTAACACTTGATATTTTTCATCTGATAGACCCTCACATTTGGCGTGAACCCAACACTTGCATTGTCCACACTCCATCATTTTGCTATCATAATCATCGTCGTTGTAACACCTTTGGCAAAGTGGACAAAAATTTCCTTTTTGTCGCAAGACGAAGCAAGCTCTACACAAAGGAAGATTTCCTACAAATACTGATACATCAACTCCATTACAACTTTTACATCGCAGGCAAATAGAACACACCTGTAAAATTATTAAACTTATTAATTGAAATGTTTTGTAAACTTGATACTCTAATACTATTATAAATCAGTTCATCTTTTTTTATATACCCATGGACGATCGGGTGAATGCAGTAACCTTCCTCCAACTCTATCTACACATTCTATGTGGTACGAGTTATCACATTTTACACATTTTAGTTGTTGGCCGGAAGTTTTTCCACAAGTGAAACATACCGTGCAACGCGGGCAAACCCAATCGAATTTCCATGTATTATTTTGAAGTTTAAGTTGAGCTTCATCAATACAGAATTCATGATATGGTTCACAACATGAAGCACAATGAATCAACTAAGAAAAAAAATAATTAGTAATGCAAAAATAATTTTAAAAAAATAAAAAATTCCAACACTAAGCAAAACTAGCTTTTTTAAATTCTTTAGTTTAAGAATATTTTTTTTGAAAGTAATTTTTATTTCAAAATTATATTCCTTACCTTTTCCTGTCCTGAGCTACCACAAAGAAAACATAACGCGCGTACACTAAAGTCTTCAGACCCAATCAAACAAAATCCAGTTTCACAAATTTCATCGGGATCATAACTTTCCCAAAAATCCATAGAAACGGGATTTTCAATTTTAATATTTGTCTTCTTTTTTGACTTCACTCCGTTATTTAACCGACTAACTTGAACCTCCTTTAAATTACATGTTGTTTCTTTAAAAGTATTTAATTTTTTTTCTTTTCCTTCTTCTTTTGAATCGACTACATTTTCACTAAAAAATTCAACTTCCTGACATTCGACTCCATTGCTCTCTGGTGATGGACTGGTGGTGCATTTGTTACAATCTTCTGAACTTTCATTTGTTTTTTTCTTTTTCGAACCTAAGTCTGTGGGAAAAGTAGCTAATGGCTGACCCAAAGCTACAGAAGCACTTCGACATACATGTTTCACTCTTGGCCCTTTTAAAACAATCGATTGCCTATTTTTATCATTTACACTTTTAATTTTTTCATTTTGTCCCAAAAAAATATTCGACTGAACAGTATTTTCACCATTTTTCGTTCTTTTTCTTAAAACTTTTTTATTTAAAATATTCGACTCGGAAATATTTGACCAAGGAAGATCTATAATATTGTTTTTGTTAACAGCTCTTATTTCTTGACTATTATTTTCATTAAACCTAAAACAGTGAAAAAATAATAAAAAAACATTGTTTTTGTATTTTGAAAAGGCATTAATAAAATCATTTTCAAGAAAAAAAAAAAAAAAAAAAAAAAATTAAAAAATGATAACAAAATAAAATATTACCAAACCTCAAATACTCATAACTAATCAATGCGTAAGAAATTCAATTTCAGATACAGGAACAAACTGCTTAGGACTTTTAGGAAAGGTACTAATTTGAGAGATTAATAAGGCATTGTAATTCAATCCAAACACCTAATAACATATCACCAATTAATACAAAAAATAAATATATAAAAATAAATGTTTGAAAACAATATGATTTTACGAAAGTATGAAACGAATCTATTACGAATTTATTACATAAAATGTAATAATTCTATGTACTACTTTTTGAAATTTTTTATACAACTACAAAATTGTTTTAGGTGAACAGTACTAAATAATTTCATTTAAAGTGCAATATTAGTACTTACCACTTAAAATGTTTCATATTTTTAGCACTAAATCTGAATTTGCTAGATGATGTATCACTTGAGGTAGGGCCATAATCCAAACTGAGATTAATTTGCATATTTACTGGTAACACTTTTAATAAATTTTGTTTTAATTTATTTGGCATTTTAAAATTTTTTAAACACAATTTCAACCAACACGCCTGGCACTTTGTACTGTATGACGATTCAATAACATTAAAATGTTGAGCTTTCATAATATTAACTATTTCACACAGACCGTTCCCTTTTAAACACTGTAATTTAAAATCTTTCTTGCTTTCCAACGATTTAATTATTTTCCATATAAATTTTTGACAGTTCTCACAACAAAATATTCCAAATTCCTTAGGTTTTTCAACAAATTTACAAAATATAACAATCCCACATACAGCACATTCCTTATTACCAGGAGTTGATTGCATTAAGTTAATTTTTAACTGGGTATTTGAACATAGGCTGGATAAATTTGGTGATGAAAATGGACCTTCTAATACACTAGTTTGAGTTTTATCCTTGTCTAACTGCAACCTTGCTTCCCTTAATATAAATTTACTAGAACTAGAATTTGAAGATTCTGATAAGTTTAAATTTTCTGATGATTTATTTTCCCAGTGAAGTTTTCTAGTTTCAAATTTTTTCCTAGATTCTTCCAAGAGGTTTTGTTTATTATTAACAGTTGCATTTAAGCATGATTGAGAATTTAAGTATTTCTTTTTGATGATATTATCTTCAAAAAATCTTTTATTTGGTTTTATTACTCTTGACGAATGAGTACTTCTACTGGGAAGTATAAATTTTTTGTCTGCAGGAAGATTCTTATTGATTTCCAAAAGATTAGTCATTTTGGCTTTGTTTAACAATTTTTTAGCTGCTTGGCTTTGCAAACTACGATTAGCAATAGGGCTGCATTGTAATTTATTTTTATTGAATTTAAACCTAGGTGCTCTTAGTTTCTTAATTTTACTCGATGTTTTTTCTAGTTTGCTAGAAATCCTTACTTTTTTATTTATTTTGTGTACCTTATTATTTTCTACAACGTTTACATTAAGAGTTCTGGAAGGCTCATTATCACTATTGTCATGTGAAAATGGGAAATCAAATGGAAGACCACCACCATCAAAAGAAACAATAGTTTTGCTTTCTTTTTCACAGTTATTGTCAGGTAAAAGTTTATGTTTAGTAAAACTTGAAACTGAGAATAATTCACTTTGAAAACTATCCCAAAAATTTATGTCAATTCCCTGTTTTTTGTGTGCTACTTCTGCTTCCTTTTGTTGTAATCTTGCTTCTGCCATGGCTTCATCAATTTCATTCGATGAAAACCCGTAAAAAGGACCTGGCGTAATCTAAAAAAAAAATGTTGTCAATTACGTACAAAAAATAAAATAACAGCGAATTTAAAAGTGACAGTTTCCAAGTTAATTAAACCAGACACAGGATCGGCCTTGAACGAAAACAAAAGTGAGATGTATCGCGTCATTTTAGTTAACTATTTATAAACATAAACGTTTACAAAAAATTTATTATCCCAAAGATGGTAAATTACACTTCATTAAAAAAGTAAACAAATTTACTTTGACTTCATTCAAAACAAACGCTTAAATATGGAGGAAAACAGTATTACCGTTTCGTTGTCGCCAAATGTTTCGTTAAACATAGACAGCCCTAAATATATGTTTTTAGCAGCAGTGCTTGAATCATTATCCTCAGGAAGAGAACAACTAGATAAATTCACTCTTTTTCTATTTCCTATTTTTGTAGGTTTACCAGGAAATTTTGATCTTCCCATTTTAATTTCAACGATTCCCCTGTCCGCTAAAGAACGATCAGTCGCCATTTTGGCTACAACTGACGTAAGACCGCTTTAACCGGATATACGTGAATTTATATAAACAAAAACTCTTGAGATTCTTTGTCTAACTGACTGACGAAAAAATTTTCTTTTTTATATATGACATGTTCCATCAAATTATGAAATAAATGAAAATAAGTAACAATAATTAATTGTTTTAAAATATTTTTTAATTTTATTAAATATTAGTTGCTATTGAATGTATTTTTTCTTTAATTTTACTGCTTTTAATTACATTTAAGAGTCAAAATTGATTTAAAACAACATTATGAATTAAAATTTTTAAGCTTGCATCACCATAAACTCAAATTTAAAAATTTTTCTCTTCACAAGTTAAACAACTTTAATATATTTTTTAAAAAAAAGCTAAAGTATAAGTTTTTTTATTTAAAAAAAATAATAATAATTTTAAAACAAAATTTTCCATTGTGTAAAAGGGGCACATTAATATTTTTTAAGAATTTCATACCATTACAAAGATACAATACATACATAAAGTTAGATCAATTATATTAAAATTTCTTATTAAAATTTCTTTTTAAAATATAACTTTACAAAATTATTTAACTGCACACCAAGCCGAGATAATCATCCATTAAAGTTCCAATGGCAAACTGAAAAAAAAAAAAATCATAATTTATCTTACCCAACATTAAATATCTAAAACAAATATAATTATGACAAAAATTACAAAAACCACTTACAATACCAGAAGCATCAACTCTAGTCCCTACAATCTTTAGTCTAATTTCATCATCAGCCTGAATGACAACATCTTCATCTTTTGATTTGTAACAGGGTGGATTGAAATTTGGGCAAAACTGCATATCTGCTGGAATAGACTGTAAAAAGGATTTAAGTAAAATATATTTATAAAAAACTTTTTTTTATCAAATAAGAAAATTTTTTCTTACATGGTGAGAAATAAAACATGAAAGAGGTCCTATTTCGGCAAACATTCCTACTTTATTTACTTGTGTAACTACTGCATCTAAGACTTCACCTTTGAAAGGTCTAAAAACAATAGCTCTGTATTTTACTGGATAAACAACAAAACCCTGTCCCGGTAAAATTAAACCTGCACCTATATTGTCAATCAAAGTAACCGCAATAACAAATCCATATTTTCCCGTACAGGTTCCTTCAACTTCAGCGTATAATTTCTGTTTAACGGTTTCTAATAACTGAGGTCCAAAATACCTAGGATGGAGCAAAATTTCGTGCTCCAGTGAAATCTGTAAAAAATAACTTTATATAATTAGAAATCGTATTAAATTAAGCTTAACTTTTAATTAATATTTGAATTTATAAGTAAAACATTTCACCGATACTAACGTGATAAAACATTATTAATTAAAAATTAATTCTATTAAAATTGATAAACAATAAAGTGGCAGAAGAGAAAGGCTGTGACACGTTTATTTTTTTGACATGTAAATAAAATTTTACTTTCATATTGAGTACCTGTTATTCTCATTTAAATAATGAGTTCAAAAGAAGATTTGCTTGATGTTTTGGATGAGCAAAAAAAAACAATTGAAAAATATAGCAATAAATTAAGAGGTAAAATTTTTACTTTCCGATACAATTTATATTTGTTTGGTTATATATGTCAAGTTTTTAAATGAATTATCAATTCTTCCAGATGTTGTAGCAGCACATAAAAGTTTATTAATTGAAAAAAAAGCTCTTGAAGACACTATCAGTATATTAAGTGCTTCTAAACAAAAAGAATCCAAAACTGAATTAATAGAGTTTGATGAAGAATCTAAAGAAAATGAGACTGCCTCTGACAAAAATGAAGAAGAAAAAAAAAATCAATTGAGTTCGCTATTAAGTTCAATCTCGAAATTGGTTGCTGAAAAATCTCATATGGAAGAAAGTTTTAAAACGAATCAAAAACAAATTTTAGAGGATAAAAAAGCTATTGAAGATAAGTGCAAAAGACTTGAAGAAAAAGTAAAAATATTGACAAAGCAAATTAAAAATGAAGAAAGCAAAACCCCTGGTGATTTCTTTTTTTTAAAAAAAGATTCCAAAAAGAATGCTAAAGGAGATAGTTTACAAAACAAAAAGCCATTTTCAAAAACTGATGTTTTATACAATTCCAACATTGATGACTTAATGTTGCAAATAAAAAATTATGAAAAAGAAATAAAAAATTTAAAAAGTGAGTTGGAAGCTAAAAGAATTGTTCAGGAATTATCAGAAAAAAAGGTGAAGGACTGTACTATTGATTTAAATAAATTACAAGAAGAAGTTAGAAATTTACAAATTGAGCATCAAGTTGCTCTTAAGGTTGAAAAAGAAAAATCAAAAAATATCGAAGACCATGCCAAAAAAACATCTGCTGCTCAAGAAGAAAGGGTAGTTAATTTAGAAACAAGATTAGCTGAACTATCTGAAACAATTGGATCCTATGATAGACTAAGATTGCAAGACCAAGCTGAAATTCACAAGTTAAAAGAACACATAACACAAATGGATTTAACTTGCAAAGGAAATTCATTTCAAAGTCGAAAAGAACTACCTAATTCTGATGACTTTGATGATATCGTAGAAAATATAATAAATCTCAAAAAACATTTGCAAATTAAATCAATTCAATTAGGAAGAGAAGAAGATTTTCAAAAACTTTTTCCTGATACTTATGGTAATGAAACTTCTCATACTTCATGCAAAGAAGAATTAAACAAAATAAAAGCTGAATATGATTTATTAAAAAACACAACACAACTAAACAAAGCCAATTTACATACTGAAAAAGAAGTTACAGTTTATCAAAACCAAATAAAAAATCTTCAAGAAAAAGTTAAAAATTTAAGTGAAAAAAATGAAATTATGGAAAATGAGTGGAAATTGCAAGTTGATCAGCTTAAAAAAACGATGAAAAATGAAAAAGAAAGATTTAAAGACACATTATCAGCCTCCGAGTTAGATTTTCGAGGAAGAGTATGGTTACTAGAAGAACAACTTCAAAAGCAACGTGAAAGATCTTTAGCTTTACTAGAAGAAAAGGAACAAGAAATACAATCTCTTCAAAACACATTTCAGATGTTATTACCAGGCAATTTGCAGAACTCTAATAATTCTTTCTCGGAAACCAAAATTCTACCTAGTCAAATAATAGATGGACCACACATAGTTCATTACACGAATGAATTAGCTAGGAAAGACATTGAAATAACTAATTTGAGAAAAAGTAAAAATCAAATGGAAATTCAAAATAGAGATTTGCAAAAAGAGATAATTTCAATAAGTGAAAAACACAAAGAAGAATTACAAATACTAAATGCTGAGATATCAAGGTAAAGAAAATTAATTAGGTTAACATTTGTTCTTGTTTGCCTTAACAATGACACTACATTTTTGTTTTTTTTTTTTTTTTTAGGTTAAAAAGATACCAAAGCAGAGAAGGTGCCAATTTGGAATATTTAAAAAATGTCGTCTATAGTTTTTTACTGTCTAGTGATCCAAAATCAAAGAGACACATGTGTAATGCAATCGCTGCAGTATTAAAATTTAGTGATTCAGAATTACAAAAAGTTATTGATCACAGCAAAAATAAATGGTGGACTAAATCAAATTATGCCTTACAATAAAATATCAAGAGAAAAAAAAATTTTTTATAAAATAAATGAAAACTTACCAATTGATTAATTTATTCCAATAAAATTTATATCTATGCTGTGCCTTAAAATGAAACTGTTGAAACGAGTTTTGCATTAATGTAAAATTTAACGTTTAAACATATGCTAGGGAAGACATGTTTACTGTTTAAATATTATATTTTTATGATTTATAACATTTAATCAAGTTTAAAAATGTATTATATGTAAAATAAATAATAGGAATAACAAGTATTAAAAAATAAAAAAAATAAAATTATTAAACAATTTATTTTATTTTTATATAACTGTATAGTCTTTAAAGTACAAAACAATATTAGGCAAAAAAAAATAAATACTGACTGTTCATTTTTAAATATATATGTGTACTGTCTATAATTTATTTTATTTACTGTATCATTTTTAATAAAACCTATTGACTTGAACTAAATTTTGTAAAAACGTATCAAAATATTTTTGTTTTTTTCATTCAATGAAATCCAGCGACGGGATATTTCGTTAAGTGTTCTTTTAAAACCAAAGGAAATGCCGCCAAACATTTATATCTGCTACCCATTTTATCGTCGTCGGTTAACATATTATATGCGGAGACTAATATTTTTTCATCTTGTTCATTTTTACAAGATTTTAACAACATTTTCAGTCTTAAATTCATTCCCATATTATTTAAAAATTTTCCTTGTTCAATGGGACCCGATATGAACATTTTATCTTTCATAATTTCTGTTAGATAATTAAAATTAACATCGGCCGTCAAGTCTGATAAACCGGGATTGGTTAGCGGATCCACGAGTTGGTGATTTTTAAAAGCCTAAAAATTAAATGAGAAAAAAATATTTTTAACCGTAAATTAATGACGACAAAATCTTTTTATCATTTAAACATCAATAAATTTCTTATTTTACGACGAAATTTCTTATTCTATTCATTTAACTTTGATAAAAAAAAAAAAAAAAAAAGGAAAATTTTAGAAAACGAGTAAGTGGGAAATTTTTTTTTTTTTTTTTTTTTGTACTTTAAATGACTGGTTTAGAGTAAATAAACAATTAAATTTGTCTCTGCGTGTAATTTATATTTAAAAAAAAATATTAATTGTTACTTTGAACCATTACTCAAACATATTGTTTTTGTTCAACAACAAGGCCTTGATATATGGCCTTGAATCAAGTTTTGCTCTAACAAAAGCTGATATTTAAAATATTATTAAATCATGTTCAGTTTACCAAAAAAAAATTTTCTAAGATTAACATACATTTTTTTTTTTTTTTTAAACTCGAGATTAAAAATATCAAACTATTGCAACTTGCTTTGTTACTTTTGAAATTCACTTTTTTCAAAATAAAATCTACGTTTAATCGTTAAATAAAAACATGAAAAAGTTAATATTAATAATAATAATAATAATACAGGTTAGCCAGAGAATGGTACTAGAATTACACCCTTAAGTCTGATAAATGAAAGCCTTAAACTTGTAAATGAAAATCTGTCAGTATTGACGAAAAAAAAGGTTGAAACACAGGAATTTGAAAATTTTTCAAATCATCAAAGCAAGGAAGCCATGCTCATAACCATTGAGAAGGTATTCAAAGAGAATTATTAGAACTTTAAGACAATTTAATCAATTTCAATGTTGTTGTTGTTGTATCATTAGGTTTTTACTTACCCTAAAAGTATCCTGTTTTTCTCCGAAGTGACCATAATCGATAAACAATGAAAATCCACCAAACTCTTCCAATCTTTGTGCGATTTCCTGAGCCACGAGTCCTGCTTCGTGAGAAATTTCCACATGATCTCTTTTTTCATCTTTTGCTATCAGTAACTTGGACATGACTGTTTCTTTAGGAGAAATAACATAATTAAATTTATTCGTGCCATTTTCATTCATTGTTGAATCTATCAACACTTCTCTCCATCCACTTGAAGTTTTCTGAAAAGGGAAAAAAAAAGAAAAAAAACAATTTACAATGCACTCATTTTCTGATCTTTAATTTTTTTAAAAGCAGTTGTTGGTATTTACCTGAAATTTATGAATTGGTAATGCATCGAAAAATTCGTGGGCTAAAATCACGCTGAAACCTTTGGGAACTTTTTCTAACTTATCATACCAATAAATAGGAACTTTGTAGAGGGACGAACATGTTTTGTAATGAGAATTGCTTTTATCTTCAAAAGAAACGACTCCAATATTGATGACGTCACTGGACAAAGTGGTTGCTTGAAGAGAGGCCAAACCTGGACTTATTTCCACCAAGTGTACACTAAGGTCGTCTGTTGCTTTAAAAGTATTTAGAGTTTTTAACACATCTTTCATTAGTGTTCCCTTTCCCGGTCCTAATTCAATAATTTGCCAAGGTTTCGGAGATCCAATTTTACGAAATTCGTGAAATATCCAAGTTCCTATAATCTAAAACAAAAAATTATGTACATTTTTTCCTGTTTGCAAAAAAGGTTGGCAGGACTGTTGTTGCAAATTTAAAAAAAAAATTACCTCTCCGAACATTTGCGATATTTCCGGTGACGTAATAAAATCACCCTTTTCTCCAATCATATCTTTTTGCATGTAGTATCCCAAACTTGGATTTGCCAAACATTGTCTCATGTAATCTGCAACCGTTATCGGTCCGTTTGCGGTGATTTTCAAATGAAGAGCTTTAGAAAAAGATAATAAATCATTGTTTGGTTTTTTAACTACTTTATAATTTCCATCCGGCCTGGAAACTTTAACGTAGCTTCCGTATTTTCTTAAAATTCTGCACTGAAACCACTGTAATTGCCACTTCATTTTCAACTAATCGAGATGAGCGTGAGTCTGTGTAAAAACGAATAAATTTGTTTTAGTTTTGACAATGAGCAAGCACACTATAAAAAGGCACAAAATATGTTATAATTTTCAGTTTTTGAATTTTAAATAAATTTTTAAAAATTAATATATATATATGTATGTATGTATACATATTGTAAAGGCACTGTAATTATCACACTTTAATAAATAAGGCAAAAAAAAATAAAGATTGAGATCACATTTTAAACTATTTCCGGTGGCGAAACTTCAACCATTGTTTTTTCCATATCATCACAATTAACATCCATTTGATTGGGTATAGTAATTTGATTACATTTACTCTCAACCGGTCTGCACGTCATGGGTTTCAACGGAGTGTAAATCCCTATTTGATGAGATGTGTTTGGTGAATTGGCAGACGTGTCAGGTGTGACCGCGCGATTAGCCTGAGACTGACTCTGTCTAAATTTGGTACTGTACTTGTAAAAATCTGACATTTCAAAGGGCTTCGTCACTTCTCTGTAGGGTTGCCATTTTCCTGCTTGAACAACCGTGTGATTTTGCGGGGATTCAAAAGGAACGACGGTATCGAACGATATTTCATTTTGCGTAATTGCATGCGGGGGGTGACGAGTACCGACATGCATAGGAGATGACGATTTAAAATTAACTTGTTCCGCATTAGAAGATGCAAGGCGATTTTTTGCTGCCTGATATTGTAAATTATTGATTTTTTCACCGGTTGAATTCTTGGTTACGTGATAATAAGGCTGAGTCGGAGTTTGTGGTTTAGGTACGTACGATTCCTGAGGAACGGCGATTTGTCCGCTTTTAGGTTGACCTTGAAATTCCTCACTTAGCCAGGGTTTGGCGGGTCCATCGGGATTATCTTCCAAAATATTAGTGTATAAGTTATTATTGGCAACATGCATAATGTTATTGATTTCTTTAGCAGATTTTTCAAATTCACCATTATTCTTTAATTTTGAAGAGCCCAATGAATTTTGACGAGATAATGACAAGCCAACGTTGTTGCCATCTGCATGTGAAAAAAACCCACGTTCATTTGAAGTACTTGGATAAGACACATCCACCAATTTTGAGGCACTTTCATTTTGACAATTAAAATTTTCATTTATCGGTTTTTTAACATTAAGAGGATACTCTGAAATTTCATTATTGTGATTTTTAAAAAGCAACTCTTGCTTCTGATTGAGAGCTTCTAAGTCATCCATATAAGAACCGGAATTTTTTAATTTTTTACTATTACTTAACTGTAATTGATGCATATTATTTGAAATATTATCTATTTCAGAAGGAGAATATGTTGGAATGGGTTTAAAATTTTTAGGCATCATATTTGGTGTATTAAGAAGAGCTGGATGAGAAGTACTGAGTTGCACAAAGTTTGAATTATTACTATTATTATTATTATTACCAGTTTAATGGATTTGTCTGAAGTTCTTGCATTTGATACAACATTCTTGTTGTGGAAGGTAATCTACTTGTGGTCCTCAAAGGAGGAGATGGTGCTGAATCAAGTGAAGTTTCATACCATTCTTTTTCTTTAGGAAGGTGACCTTCATAGACTAAATCCTGAACACTCCAAGAATCTTTAGATTTCTGAGAGTTAGATTCTACACTTCCCAATGATTGTGTTCTGCTTAAATTAGGTTGATGGCTGTGATCAGGGTATGTTTGACTAGGAAGTAATGTACCTCCAGCTGACTGAGTATCCCATTGTCTTCGAACTAGACTTTTTTTTAAACCTTTCTTTTGATTGTTTAGATTCGTATTTAACTTACAGTTATCTATCATTTGTATATTAGCATGAGGCAATGAATTTGTGAGAAAATGATTGGGAAAAGATCCAGAGGTATTAAAAACTTGAAAGGATCCAGGTTTTAATTCTTCAGAGCTAGCATCGGTTCTTGGACTACTAGAACTTTGTGATGGAGCACTTGTCTTGAAAGATCTTTGCAAACTTCCCAAAAAATCGTTTTGCAATAATGAATCGTGGCCTTTAGCACAATCATCTAGAGAATATAAAGGTTTTGTTTTTCCAGGCCAAGATCCAAGATGATCAGTGGTAAAATAATTTACGCCATGCTCATTATTTTTTTTCCAAAGGAATTCTAAATTATCAACAGCTGTAGTGTTGGGCCTAGGTTTCTTTTTGATTTGTTGTGATTTAAATTGTTGAGATTTTCCTTGTTTTAATAAATTAAGTCTTGTTTCTAATTCCATTAACCTTCGTTGACTTTGCCTGTACATCAAGCGATGTTTTCTTCTAGCAGCTTTATTTGCTGAGGAGTCATTAGCAAGAGTTAAAGCAGCTTCGGCAATATTAATTTGAACTTTGCATTCTAATTCTAATGCTGTTAATGACTCATCATCAGCATCTTTGACGCTGTTAATAAGATTTTGCGGGAAAGAAAATGATGTACCGACCCTTCTACGAATTGGTGGCGGCGGTTCGCCTGGCTCAAGTGGGATTTCTGGTGGCATTATCCCAGTCAGATCAGCTTCTTGGAGGCATAACCTTTTTAATTCTTCATTTTTTTCTAAAATTTTCGCCTCTAAGGCTTCTTTTCGAGATTGAAGCGTCGCAACCATTTCTAAGTTGCCACGCTCACTTTCTAAGGAAATATCTCTTGGCAAAGAAAGTGAGCGTGTAACACTTTTGACTTTGGATGACAACTTTATTACTTACATTCAGCTTTTGATTTATTGTTTTCCAAACACTAAGAAATTCACTTATTAAAATTGACCATTGACCTCAATTATGGAACACGTAAGCAACATTTTCGTCACTAAACACTGTCCATGAAATAGTTTTCTTTAATTGTTACTCACGTTGTCTCATTAATGACGTCTTTAAACGGGGTAAAGGTTTCACACCTGAGAGATAAAGAAGAAAGAAATGAACCAAAAACACCCACACCCAAACAAATCGAATGCAAGAGAAACAAACTTTTGAACGTAAAAAAAAATTTTGAAGTTGGTAACAATGAACTACTCATTCAATTCTGATTGGTTCTTACTTAAATGCTAGAAGTGAGATGTTCTGTTTTAAAGACCTCTATCGCATTTGTAAATGCAGTGAACACTAGTTAATGAAATGGATAAATATTATTGTTTTTGATTTGTAATTTTTTTTTATTAATATTTATTAAAAATTATAGTCAAGATAATAAAACATGAACAGTTCTACAAGAATTTGTTTTTACTTTTATTTGTCAATGCTGTGCGTGACGACAGCTTATTTTAATAAACAGTTTGACCCAAAAAGTTCTGACTTTTGTTTTTGTCAGGTAAGTTTTACATTACTCGGGTAATCAATTGTAACTTTTTTTTTTCATATCGGCTTTTTTAAAAAGACTTTTTAGGGATTGCATTTCAAAGATTTAAATATTATCTCATTAACTGTAATTTTATGTAGGACTTACATTACTGCAAAATTTAATTTTACCTTGCTAAAAAACAACTTTAAAAAATTTATTTAGATGAACATATTATTACTGTCAAATTTAGGTTTTAGTGTTATTTTGCATGTTGATTTCTAATTGCAAGGAACTTGAAAGGTCAATTCTGTTGCAGCTTTCATATCTTTCAATTTTTTTATATGCTGATAACAAAGTGATTAGCAATCAAATTTATAAATATTAATTTTTTATTATTACTGAAAATTACATTAAACAATGTAATTAATGTTTTTTTTTTTTTTACCTATTAATTATGCCTAATTTTTTTTTTTTTTTTTTAGCTTAAAGGTCAAATAGATGATTGCAGTTGTAATGTAGACACAGTTGATTATTTCAATAATGTTAAAATTTATCCCAGACTTCAATCCCTTTTGGTAAAAGATTATTTTAGATTTTATAAGGTGAGCTTAATTTGAATAAAAAAAAAAAAAAGTTTGTAGTTTTAAATTGTTGTACTATATTGATAGTTATACTTTTCCTTTCAAAATTTAGGTCAATTTAAAATCACCCTGTCCTTTTTGGTCTGATGACAGTAGATGTTCAATAAGATTTTGTCATGTTAAGCCTTGTTCCGAGCAAGATATTCCAGTAGGAATAAAAAGTTACAATGAGAACACATTACTTCAAATTGAAAATCCATCTTACAAGGTATTCTGGTTAAATATTTTTGTAAATTATTATTGAATTATTTGATCAAAATATTTAATAATTTTAAAAAAATGTAGCAAAAATAATTAATATATTTTTAATAATTTTTTTTTTACTTACAGTATTCATCAATTGCTCAGGAATCTGATTGTAATTCTGACATTGATAATGAACTTGGATATTTAAATAAAACTATCAGGTTAGCAAATTTTTAAATAATAGAGATTAATTTTTAGAATTTAAAATGACTTATAAAAAAAAACTATTCAGATAATTTACATTTAAAGTTTACAAAATCATGTAGTAATTTACTTAATGCTAAAATTGAGATTCCTATTTAACTTTTAGTGCAGCATCATATGAAGGATTTCAGCTTTGGAAAGCTTATGATGATGTTCAAGATAATTTTTGTGTCAATTACGATGAAAGCGAGGAATCAGAATATGTGGATTTGACATTAAATCCTGAAAGATATACAGGTTACAAGGGAAGATCTGCTCACAGGATTTGGCACTCCATTTACAAAGAAAATTGTTTTAGAACAGAAAATAGTTATGGAGCTTACATTCAATCCTCAAAATTAGAAGGTAATGTAAATGATAAATTTACATTGAAACCATATGAGATTTATAAAGTCGATCATGTTAAAAAAATTTTTTCATTAAAATTAAAACTTTATTTATTTATTAGGCTTATGTTTAGAGAAAAGAGTATTCTATAGAGTGATATCTGGTTTGCACACAAGTATAAACATTCACTTATCATCGAAATATTTGTTATCAGAAAAAAATACTTTTGGAAATCCCCAGGGAGTTTGGGGTATAAATGTAGAAGAATTCAATCGTAGATTCAGTCCTGAATTAACAAATGGCGAAGGACCGCAATGGTTAAAAAATTTATACTTTGTATATTTGTTAGAATTAAGAGCCATAGCAAAAGCTTCTGATTATTTGAAAAAAGAAGAATATTATACTGGCAATGAAGAAGAAGATTTAGAGGTTAAAAATGCTGTGGCTGATATACTTAAAGTGGTTCGAACTTTTCCCCAACATTTCAATGAAACATCCATGTTTAACGGAGGAAAACAAGCGATTTCTTTAAAAGAAGATTTTAAGCAGCATTTTAGAAATATATCAAGAATCATGGATTGTGTCGGTTGTGACAAGTGCAAACTGTGGGGAAAGTTACAAATTCACGGCCTTGGAACCGCTTTAAAAATTTTATTTTCTGGAAAATTTGAAAAAGAAAATTTACAAAGTTTTAAACCTAATTTGAAATTAAAAAGAAACGAAATAGTCGCCTTATTCAATTCATTCGGAAGGTAAAATTTTTAGTTAATCATAATTATTAAATCATTTTAGTTTCAACGGTTTTTAACTTATGTTTTCATTTTTTTTTTTTTTTTTTTTTTATTTAGATTATCTACTAGTATATTTGAGGTCGACGAATTCAGGAGAGTGATAAGGTGACAGGAACCCGGTCTTTATATAACAAGGTCTAAATATAGCCCAAATAAACGTTAATGACGATTAACGTTTGCCACCTCTGCAAGAATTATCAAATATAACCTTTATTTCAGTTAACTAACTCTTTAAAAATAATCAAAAAGTCGGAAACTATTTTTTTTTTTTTTATGGTTGGCTTCACACGAAATTCATTTTTGTGTATTATGTGCAAATATTCCACAATCAACCGTTAAATTATTTAAATACCAAGTTCAGTAATTTTGCATCTTTATTATTATCATTATTATTATTATTATAACTAATTTTAAAAGGTAAGTAATGTCAATTTTAGTAAAAAGGTGGTAAAATAAATAATAAATTTTAATGAAATAAAAAAAAAAAAAAAAAATGTAAACATAAAGGTGTGTGTGTGTGTTAGTTAAATGTTTTGCGGGCAAAACATTAAATACATAAATTTATTTATTTTAAAAAAAACGATTGGTTGAAATATTGTTTAAAATTTTGTCGACTAAATTGTATAAATTAAACGTTATATATATATTATTTATTATAATCGAATCGTGTATATTTAAATTATGAAATTTAAATTTTAGGGCATGAAGAAAAAAAAAAAAAAATTTATATTTATTTTACGTACTTTATACATTAATTATTATAGTAGAAAAAAATTTTTTTGCCCATTTTTAATAAATAAATTTTATAATAACTTTTCTAAAATTCTTTTTTTAAAAAAAATTATGTTTATATTTTTTTTTATAACGTATATATATTTTATTTACTCGTGTAATTTTATAAAAACTTCATCATCTTTAGTTAATTTTTTCTAATATGAAAATTTTACTTTTTTTTTTTTTTTTTTTTGAATCTTTTTGGAAAAATTGTTTTTGAATAACTACTCATCATTTTTAATAAATTTAAATTTTTTATTATTATATATTTTTGTTACTTAATGTATAGTATCAGGTTTTGATAATTAATAAAAAATTTTAATTTATTTTTTTGTTATAATTAATTTAGGTTTATAATTTTTTTATATCATGTTATCGAGTAAGTTATGACATTGTTTAAAAAAAAAAAAAAAATAAAATTATTAACATTTTTTTTTTTTTTTGTTTATAATAAAGTAAATTATATGCATTTATGTTGTTCATTTATTGACCTATAACATTACTAACTAACCTCTTAAAAATTTACTTAAAATTAAAACTAAGAAAACTTTATAAAAGAGGTTCATCTTAAATATTAATATTTAATTTTTTTGTGGATTTTTTCATTCATTAATTTTATAATTCAAGTCACACTTAAAAAATAGGCTATCATAATAGGCATTAAGTGTTTTTTTTGTATAATTTAAATTAAAATTTCAGTCTTTAAGTTTGAATGTTGAGCCAACAAAATTTTTTTTTTCGTAATTTTCGAATAACCACCCAATTTAAATAAAATTTTAATTAAAATAGTTTTGAAATTTTTTTTTTTTATGTCAAGAAAAATTTAAAAAAAAGTATGTTATGAATTTATTCAAATATTTAAAAAAACATTAATTTAAATTTTAAACAATAAATTCTTACTATTGATTAGTTTCGTCAGACTCCTTGTAATGCCTGTATTCAGGCTTTAATTCCCACATATTTTTATGGGGATTTTTTATATTATAATTGCAAACTTCATTTAATATTTCTTTTAAATAAACAATTGGTTGATTGGTAATTTTTACTAAGTCTCTTATGTTATAATATTGATGTTTTTCAAAAGCAGCAAATAGCATATTTAAAACAGCTTCTTTATCATCTCTGGCCTTCTTACCCTCATTCTTTTTCTTTTCGTTATTAAATAAATTATTTTTGTGATCCGAGATTGGTTTATAATTTTGAACTACTCTGTCCAGTTGTTTCACTTGTCTGACAGGCAAGCTAGCTTTTCTAATTGTTTCTAATTTTAATTTCATGTAAGTATTATCAGCATATGGTCTACATTCTAATTTTTGAACAATTCTTCCCTCCATCGCGAGTTTTTCACTTTCTGGTATAACTCCTTCTAAATTACTAGGAGCAGTATGAGAAAAAACTCCTAATGTCAAGTGTTTGACAGGTAAAACATCTAATCTGTGATCTTTAGGAATGTTCTCTTCTCCAGGTTCTTTTAAATTTAATACAGCTTCAGACAAGGATAATTCTACCTGCATTTTTTGACCTGGTTGTTTACAAATTTTTAATTTGCCTACTTCAATATTTCCGGATGCTTTTTCCCATTTAGTTGCAACATACTTTGGCACTTTCACTAACCAAACACCTCTTTCTACATTTGTTGTGTCTAATTCTTTATCACTGTGAACACTCATATTGTTTAATTAAATTAGATTAAAAAAATTAAGTTAAAACTAAAATGTTTTTAAAAGTATTTTTCAAAAGTAAAAATACACAAGTAATTGCTGACGATTTTGTTTTCAAAACACATGAGAGAAAAAATACAATTAGAGAAATTTGTCGCAAACTCATCAAAACAAGTTTTAAATCGAATGTACTTCATATGGTAGCATAAAAATTGAAAAATAAGCTAATAAGCTAGCTAATTTAATTCATAATATTTAACATATTTAAATATATATATATATATATATATATATATGCAAATTATAATTTTAAAAAGTGATTTTGCTAATAATTTTTTTCTTATAGGTATTTTATTTATTTTTAATTACAAACACTATTAAAAATTAAATTTAAGCCTAAAAATGTTTACTTTTATTCGTAATTTAGGATGCATTAAGCTTTAAAGAAATACATTTTTATTTTTACTTAATTAAAAAAATAAGTTTGAGTGACTATTCACTTATTTTTAATTATAATAATATTTATTTTTACAGATAAAAAATTATGACATATAGAATAAAGTAACACAAGCTAATTATAGAAAAAATGGAAGTGCCTACCTGTAGAGTTAAAGTTGAAACTCCCCTAGAACTATCGTTGGAAGATCAAAATAAATTGAAATTACAAGATAGTAGATTAGTAAGCCCTTTTCAAGCAAAAAATATTGAAATTTATGCTCAAAAATATTGGGACCAGTTTTATAAAAGAAATTCCACAAAGTTTTTTAAGGACAGACATTGGACGACCAGAGAGTTTCACGAGTTACTCGGTAATGAACAACTATCTAAAAACATTAAAATATTAGAACTTGGTTGTGGAGTTGGAAACTTAATATTTCCTTTAATAGAAGAAAATATAGAGGGTATAAAAATTTTTGCTTGTGATTTTTCACCAAGAGCAGTACAATTTGTTAAAAATCATAAACTCTTTGATCCGCAAAAACTATCAGTTTTCCAAGCAGACATAACTAAAACTGATTTGTTTGAAAATACAAAGGAATTAGTGGATTTAGTGACTGCTGTTTTTGTTTTATCAGCCATTCATCCAGATAACTTTGTGAAAACTGTAAAAAACATTTACAGAGTATTAAAACCAGAAGGTCTGATCATGATCAGGGATTACGCGATTAATGATATGACTCAAATAAGGTTTAAACCTGGTCATAAAATATCAGATAATTTTTACATGAGGCAAGATGGAACCAGATCTTATTTTTTTACTTGTGAAAAAATGAGAGAATTATTTTTAAAAGAAGGTTTTCAAGAAATTTCCTGCTGTTATGTGAAATCCAGAACAGTAAATAAAAAAGAAAATATCGATGTTCCTAGAACTTTTATTCAGGCAAAATTTAAAAAAAGTTCTTCAGGAATTAGCTGACAAATATTAAAATTTTATTTTTTATCATGGACATTTCCAATGATATAATAAAATAATAATTATAAATTATATTAAATTTATATTTTTGAATTAATTTTTGACCTGACAATATCACTTTTTATTTTTTTACTGTTATTTTACTTATTAAACACTTTGCCGTTTTTCAAAGCAGAATTTATAATATTATTGTTTGAAATAAATTTTATTAATAATTATCCAAATAATATTTGATATAACTGCAGTAATGTAAATTAATATAACTGTATTTTCTTTTGGTAATTGACATTTTTCAATTATAAAACTGTTAGGAGTAAATTTAGCCTAAAAATTAATTTATATGAAAAATATTATTTTAAATTATTATTTAAAATTGCTGAAATTTTACATTTTACACTTACCAACATAAATGTAGGATTATTTTTATTTCTCCAGCTGAATGATGACAAAGTATATTCATGAATGTCTTCCTTATGAACAATGTGACATCCATGGTGAACATGACCATTAATTATCAATCTGGGATTAAACTTATCGAATATCTAATTTCAAAAAAATTCAATCTTTTTTACATTACTGTATATAATTCAAAAAATGAAAATAAAAATTAAAAAATATATTTATGTTTACCATATTAGAAGCAGATTTAGATAAACAATCCCATTTTTCTCTAAATATATTATTTTTTAACTCAGGGGGTGCTTCATCATTTTCATTGCACAAAATATCTGATTCTCGATACATAGGAAAATGTTGTAAAATAATCGGTCGACTATAATTTGGAAATTTTGAATTTTCATTAAAAGAATTTTTCTTGTATATATTTAATTTATCTGAAAAATTTTATATATTATTAAAAAAAAAGTACTTATATAAGTATAACTAATCATATAATTATTTGACAAATACATACTTGCTAAATTTTTAATCTTTTTTTCTGCCTCCGAACAAAATGAGCAACCATCATTTTCCATTGCCATACTATTAATTAATATGAAAAAATTATCTTTTAAATTCAATAATTCTACACTGGAGACATTAAATATATTTTCAAATCTATCAAGAGTATATCTACTAAGAGCATAATGAAATCCTACATCATGATTTCCTGGTACAACATATAATTTTGTAGTGTTTGGAGTCTCAAACAAGTGTGAAAATCTAGATGTGTACTCAAAAAATTGAAATTCATTACACCATTGTCCCTCGTCAAAGAGATCACCTTTATTTAAATAAATAAAGATATACAAAAATGAATAGGAGAATTGAGATCAGAATTTAAGCACTTTCGATGGATTCTTTCACTGAAAAATTTTCAATAAATTTTTTGCAGAAAAAAATTAAAAAGTTTATAGAATTCAAAATTTGAGAATGTATTTTGTAATACTTTTTAATTAACAGAATCTACCAATGAATGATTAGTCGATTTGATAATTGCAGAGAGAAGCAGATAATATTTTCAATAGGAAATTTTCCCTTATCTAGCATCATCTACCTAAAATAAAGACGACTTCAGGTTTATGTAATGTTATCGCAGTTTGAAAAGCTCTGTGCATTTGCCATTCCCTCCTTAATTTATCAAACCAGTGTCCCCTGTAGGGACCAAGTAAATGGGTATCGGCCAAAAGCATTGCTTTAACTAAATTTTTGTTGTTTTCATCTTTAATGTTTTTAAAATTTGGCCAAGAGCACTGTAATTAATTAAAATTATATAATTTCTAATTATTAATTTTGAATATTAAGAATAAAGAACCAACCTGGCCGATCACTACATAATAGATTAAGAACTCACAAAATATTACAGTGAAAAGAGGTAATAAAATTCCGTAAATATACCATTTGCACCATTTTAATTTCATTTTTACGGAGTGAAAATTGTAAGAGTAACTAAATATTTAATAAATAACATTTAACCATTTTAAAAATATATTACTCGGGAAACGATTCATTTTATAAATAAAAAACAATTTTTACAAAATGGCGACAACTTTTAGGCAACACGAAAAAAAAAATTTACCTACCTTTTTTTAATTAATATTTCTTTATCAATAATTAGGAAATGACAAATCCAAAAATTTACCAATTAAAAAAAAAAAGAATAATTCTCGTGTTTAAATTATATTTATTTCGGAAGTATATCCAATGATATAGTTTTTTTTAATAAATAAAAAATAATACAATTATTGTAATAATACATTTATTGTAATATATTCATTTTTTGTAAAATTACTATTTATTTAAAAATTATTTTCCTGTAAATTAAATTTAAAGAGAATTCATTGTGATTTTTCATTCAAAAATTATAAAAATTATTATAAGTGTTTAATTATATTTAATATGATTTCTTTTTTTTTTTTTTTCTCAATAAACCCTATATTACAATAAGTAAAGTTGTCCCAAAAAAATGAAATTTTTACACTTTGAGTGCTAAATTATTTAACTCCTTAATGCAAAGATTCATAGTATTTTGTTCCTGTTCAGGAGTAATGGATTTCATCACATGAGAAACAACATAGTCGACAAGATTTCTCTGTACTGTTTTTCTTTCCAAATTGCTCATTTCAACTTGAAAATCCAATTGCTTTTTGATCTAAAAAACAAAAAAAAATTTAATCGATCATAACAACATTAGTTAAAAAATTTTTTAAATTCAAACACATTATTATTATTTTATGTAATTTTATAGAGTTTTATAAAAAAAATTAAACATACCTTTTTGTGGACTTCCATCAACCTTTCACGGTAAATAGACTCCATTTGAAGGAAAACATTTTCTTTTTTCGCTTTGAGAACTTCATGTATAACACTTACAGGATAATCCATTTGTTTTAATTTTTCCAATTCTTCCTTAGTTTTTTCTATAGCCAAGAGTTGGGGTTCATTTACTTCTTTTTCTTGAGCCTATAAAACAATTAATTTTATAAAAACTGAAACTAGTCAACTTAAATTTTGATTTTATTGTTTGATTTTATCAAAAATTATTTTTCTTTCTTTCTTACAACTGTAAATTAAAATAAATTCCAAGAGTTTTAAATTTTTTTAGATACATGAAATTTACAATGGGAGAAGAAATTTAAAACAGGTTGATTTTTTTTTGGCATAATTAAGTAAAGTAACAGAGATAAAACTTTTACATATAGTTTGTTTTACATACAGGTATTTACAAAAAACTATAAAACCGAAAAAAAAAAAAAATAATAATAATTGAAGAATTTATTTACCTCAAACATTTTATTGTAAGACTCTGCAATTTTATCACCAAACTTATATTTAACAATAGAGCACAGTATGAAGATTCCAGCCACTCCTGGTAGACCTTCTGCTACAATATACTCTTTGCCGAGTAAAAATGTTCCAACAGTAACTAGAAACGTATAAGGTCCTAAAAGGTGGAAAACAAATGTAATTTCCTATTTAAAGTTAACAAAATTTGATTTCAAGAAATATGGTAATGTTAAAGACTAGGAACCTGTTACTCCAGTTTTGGGGTACAAATTCAAAAACCATGATTCTGGTATGATATGCAAACGAGTTGGTGGAGCATATTCAGGTCGGCTACGCCTTGGAAAATTCACTAAATCCCTTTGACCAGAATCGGCTCCTCCTGATTTAACAGTGGGGCCGCAGTCACTTGCAGCCGTAGATTGAAACCTTAATAAATACTTTGAATTCTGAAAAGCTAATTACAAACGAAAAAAAAAAAAAGAAAACAAATGAAACATGAAAATTTATTGTTTCACAATTAAATTAGAATTATATTTTTATTAAAACTTACTTCTACGATAACATAAAGATAACATTTTAATAAATTTAATTTTTTTTTTTTTTCAGTAAAGAGCAGAACACAGAAGGCGAACAGAGGGAAATTTGTCGTAACAAATTTGATTGGTCGCACGCATAAAATATTTTAAGATATTTTGGGGATTAGTGTTCTTTTCAATTTTTTTTTACATGAACCTTAATTACAAAATAATATTATAATTTATTAAATTACAGGTATTGAATAAAGTTATTTTTATTTAATTAATTAATTTAAAAATTCATAAAAAAATTACGGTTCGAAAAAAAAAACAAAAAATTTGAGTTTTAATTATTGTTACTTAAATACACATATATATTATTCATGATGCTGTAAAATTTTAATAATACTTACAAATAATAAATTGTTTTATAATTAATTTTATAATTACATACATTAAGAAAAGTAGCAATAGTTTTTAAAAAAAAGATTTTATAATTTTGATAAAACGAATTTAAAACGTTATAAATTATTTTTATTTAATTTAGAATTATTAAATTTTAATTTAAATTTAATTGCATATTTCTTGTAATTTTTTTTTTTTTTGTCATTTTTAACAAACATTTCAACATTATATAAAACCATAGAAAAAAATTTACAAATTTTGAAAATTAATCAAACATTTTTCTTTGTTTGACATATAATTCATCATTGTCAAAAAAAAAAAAAAAAATATATATATGAAAGTATTTGAATGTATAAACTAAATTTAAAATTTTTTTAAATTTGCATTTTATTATTGTTTTTTTCTCAAAGGATTCCTTATCGTTATTTGCTTTTCTGTTTTTAATTTTATAAATCACCATTAATAATAATAATAATAATAATAATACTTTTTTTTTTAACATTTGATATAATTTACAATTTTGGGTTTAGTATATTGTATAATTTTTACTAAAATAGTATAATCGAAATGAAATTTTAATGAAGAATGATGGTAATATATATTAATAAAAATCAATTTCACACTTTAATTAAATAATTTTTTGATTATAAATAATTTAAAAATCAATTTGTTTATTTGTAAGTTTATTAAAAACACTATTTAAAAAATCAATAAATAATTATTTAGCAATTTACTATTTCAAAAATTTGTTTTTAAGCTTATACTTTGTAAGTAGGATTATGTGTAAAGATTTATAATAAAATTTTACTAATTACAAGTAATTAAAAATCATTTAAATTAATATATATATATATAAATACTAATTTAAATTTTATTTTTTATTTTCTGTATAAATAAAAAACAATAAAAACAAACAAAACAATATAAAAATATTTATTATTATTTAGAAATTAAAAAATATATGAAAATATTTAATAATTTTCAATAACGGAATTTTTTTTTTTTTTAATAAAAATAGAAACCATTAGCAAATTTTTTATTTTTTATTTTTTTTTATTCTTTATAATAAATAAAGTAATTTTCAAATTGTACCGTAATAAATATTTTTAATGTTTTAAATGTCGCCAAATGAATCGAATCAAAAGGATTTGAATCGTAAACAATAATAAATAAAAATTTTACAAAATCAAATTTTCCCCCTTTTTAAAAAAAGGCAATTTAAAATTTAAAAAAAAAAAAAGGAAGAAAGAAAGAAAGGAAAAAAAAAGGAAGAAAAAGGATCACGACCGCAATAAAAAAAAATTTTTTTTTTTTTAAATTAAATTTATATGAAAATCGTTGATGCGTGTAATACAGAATTCAATCAAAAAAGGGGCTTTCAATGCCGTTTGACGGGTAGCAACAACATCGGAAACAACTGTAAAAAAAAAAAAAAGGGATGCTGAAGATAAATCCAAAGAGGGTACAATATAATAACCCTTTAAAATAATTTTAAAATCTGACCACGGATTCGTCGTGGCATCTGTTGTTATACTATGAAAGGAAGTTTGCAAATCCGGGTTGGAGTGCATCATCCCATTACAATTTATTGCATTTTAAAGTTTTGGTTTACTGATTGACAAGTGTCAAGTGGATTTTCAAGGGTTAAATTGATATTTTTTTTAAAAATATGACACACTTATTCGAAATTCCCCCCCCCTCTTTCCCCCTCTCCCTCCCCGCCAATAGGGTTTCCAAAAAAAAAAAACAAAATATTTTTCATTATTAAAATTTATCATACAAGATTTTTTTTTCTCTTTCCCTTTTTATTATTATTATGAAAATTTTTTATATTTTTAGGAAAATTCATAAAATCATGACAACACACAAACGAGAGGGAGAGGGGGGAGGAGAGAGAGAGAGAGGGGGGGAGAATTGATAAAAAAATAATAAAATAAAAGGCTTTAATAAAAGGAATAGGTAAAAATAAAATTTTATTTTTTTTAGTTTCTCTCTCTCTCTCACTCGGATTCGATTCCCCTTACCATCGTCATCACCATCGTTCACTTCACAAATGATCTCGTGAAGCTGACTCATATCCGGTAAATGCGAGCACGAAACTTCCTGTCTGCCGACTTTTAATAGTCCTTAATGTGAGCAAACGTCAAAAATGACTCTTCTGATACAAATTGTTTTCGTTTTTTTTTTTTTTTTCTTTTCTTTCATCGTATAAATTTTTTTTTTAGGTTTTCCTTTTTATATTATCAATATGTATACATCAAAAAGGAAAATGTTTATTTTATACAAAAAATTTTATTTGATTTTTGAAAGGTCGAAAAAAAAAAAAAACAAAAACAAAAATAAACAAATAATGAAAAATTCAACAATAAATTTAAATTTATAAAATGAATAAGGATAAAAAAAGACTGTTGTTGTGTATGTATTAATAATAATAATAATAATAATATATAGTTAATAAAATTGAATAAACCAATTTAAAATATTTAACTTGATAGGTTTTGTTAACATAACCCGCAAGAAAATAAAATAAAATAAAAGAAAAGAAAGAAGACATTTCATCTTATATTTGTATAAATATTTGTTGAAATGGATCTCCTTGAGGATAAACTTTAAAATTGAAATGTTTCATTGTTTGCCAAAGGGATAGTTACAGATGCTTCTGAGATCGACTGGTAAGTAAACACAGTTTTTTTCGGGGTGGGGAGTGAAGGTAAGGGTGAGGCGGTGGGGTAGGGTTTTCGAAATTCTGTACTTGATTTTTTAAAATGTTCAAACAACCGAAATAATTGCCTGCATGTGAGTATATTCACCCTAAAGGAAAAATTTAAACCTTTTCAACAAGGCCAATTTTAGGCCAAAATTGTTACATTTAAAAAAAAAAAAAAAAACCGGAAATTATTTCGTCGTTCGTGTAAAATAGATAAAAACGAAAAAAAAACCCAACACGTAATTTTAAAATAATTAATAATAATAATAATAATAATAATAATAATAAATTTTTTTTTATTTAATCAAAAAAAATAAATAAATTGTAAAATGTAAGAAGGGAAAATTTTTTCCAACAGTGAATTTTCCAACCCCAAAAAAAAGTTTTCAGATCGTTAAAACAATTCAAAGAGCAATGTAGACCAAAAGGGCAATTTTGAAAATATTACTCTCCCCTCCCCCCCGAAAAAAAAAATAAAATAGATAAATTTTATCGTCTTGCGAATTGTTGTTACCCTCACATTCTCTCTCTCTCTCTCTTTCTAAAAATTTCTTTGACTCTTAATAAAATCCAGTGTAAGAAATGTTTATAGTTTTCTATTTGACGACTTTTCCGAATTAAATTTTGGTCAAATCGTTCAAATTTTATTTTCTCTAACTAAATTCTTTAAGTTAAAATTAAACATTTTGGTATTACAAAAAAAAAAAAAAACAGACAAAAATTTAATTAATTAAACTTTTCTTATTTAGATGTTTATATGGTCAAAATTGTTTAAAACTATTGTTTAAAAAAAAAACAAACGTTTTTCATTTATTTTTTAATTATTTCTTTTAAAAATATTTACGATTATTATTATTATTGTTTTCACAAACAACAACAACAACCGATGATAAATTTTAAGAAAAAAAAAAAAAAAGAAAACAATATTTTTACATAAAAACCGTTTAATTTAATATTCCTCGTTTGTTTTTTTATTATTCTTACCCTTCCTCCGGTTGTTCGGTTGTTGATTCGGTTGTTTAAGGAAGTATGTAAAGTAGTACATTTTTTTTTACAATATCGTTGTTGAAAAGAAATGGTTTTTCCTAAAAATAGGTTTTGTCCAGCATCTATTTCCTATTCGAGTAAAAAAAGGGAAATTGAATTTTAAATTTGTTTCATTTCCTTACTAGTTTTCCCCATCATATCCGTAAAAAGAAAATTTGCTTAGATTTTGTTTATTTTTTGTGTCGGTTAATGTCTACCTTCTCCTGTCTTATTCTCCTTCTTTTTTTTTCTTTATCCTTTTTTAACGTGGAGTAGAAAGAGATAGAGAGAGATAGAGACTCCCCATTTTATTTTCGTATCGAAACGTTTTTCCTTTTTTTTTACTGGTTAT